CCTCGGACGAAGTGGACCGCTATCTGGCTCTTCCGCGGATACCCTCAACATCTGACCCGCTTGAATTCTGGGCGCAAAATCCAACGTATTTTCCTAAACTTAGCAAACTTGCAAAACAATTTTTAGGAATTCCGGCATCGACAGGTGGCGCGGAAAGATTGTTTTCATCGACCGGGTCTTTGGGGAGAGCTCGATGTTCAAGTCTGCTTCCGGTAACTTTAGAAAACATGGTCTTGCACAAAGAACATCGCGTTCCAACTTTAATGAAGAAAGTTAACGACCGGAAAAAATCCAGGAAGAGAAAAATTGTCACAGAAAGCAGCCCAGGCACAAACATGTGGAACGAGAAAGAGGACGAAAGTGTTGTAAAATGGTATGGTTTCCTCGTATATTTGATTAAAGATTATATATTATCTTAACCGTAATTACCGGTGTTATTCTTTATATATTTCAATATGATACGAGGCACAAATAAATAAATTTTGTTGATTGTTATTATCTCAACAGAGAAACAAAATATATATTCGTCAAATTTGTAAGCTGCTCTTCATATTGTAAACACGGGTGAAGTTTGTGAATTGTATTTGGAATTTTTATGTACGTGTGTTTGCATATAAAAATGCGGAGTGAAAAATGTGTCACTTTTCTGTCGCATAAATGAGTTTGTAAGTACACGGAGGAATAAATTGAGATGTCCAAATAAGAGCATTTATTCCCTTCTCACCCAAAGCCCCAAGACAGAATAATCTTTTCTTTTCTTTTTTGACTCACATACATACATACATCCAGACATGCATACATTTAACCTTATTTCTAATGCAACGTTGTTGCTCTCCATCCGGTGTGGGAGGCACTAATTTGGAAACTAGGAGGGTCAGAGCCGTACCGTCAAATTGTCAGGCCTGGTATGAGCTTCAGGGCCGGGCCCTTTGATAAGTTCAATATCTTCGATATTATATTATCGTTTTCGCTCCAGAATACTAGAGCATTCTGGAACGACGAAGAAAATATTATACGAGAGCACATTATTTTCCCAGTTCCATGGGAAAATGGTGACAATTTACCTGCGCTATTAACTCAGCCATATTTTTGAAAACATCAGCGGGACGGAGAAAATTCAGTTATATGCACCTACATAAGTTGCATAATATGCGAATATGACATACTTTCGCTTACTTCCCAAAGCTTCCAAAACCCTTTGTGATTAAATACTTTTCTATCCGTTTTAAAAATTTGAAAAATTGCCAGACTCATTTGGAATTGCCGAAAATGCAGGTCCCAAAACTCAATTCCATTTAATTCTTAGAACACTTATTGTATTATTTTTTGAATTTAGGTACATATTCAAAAACATAGAGTATTTTGAAAAGCCAACGTTTTGGCTAAAAATACTTTTAAAATTGAACAAAGCGGTAAGAATAAAAAAATATACAATTGTAAGCATTTGGGCCTGAAGCCGTTAGACTAACAATTCGATGACGTCAGCGGTCTCTCCCCGATTGTAACGAAACCACGATAATTATGGAAACTTAGACAAATAATAGAAAACGTGTTTCAGGATTTTTCATAATTCTCAGTTTAAACGAAATTATAACGGAATCCGTGAGAGAGAATTTCCATTTTGACCGTGAAATTTTCTCGCGAGGGAGAAAAATCCAGATTCTCGCTTACGACTTCCATCATAATTCCATTTAAACTTAATATGCATGGACATATAATGGTTTCCTCCGATTTTTACCCGACCAATTATTTTGAATTGCTCACACACTGACACAACCCAACCCGTAATTTGCGTTTTCCTGAATGTTCGTGTTTACGGTTGTGACAGAATTTTTCAATACATTTTCAGCCAATTCAGGATTTTTTAAAAGTTGTTAGTCTTGAATTTTTATAAATTCTGTGCAAAAATGTTCTTTCATTTTTTAAATAGGGTCCAAATTAAAAAATTTTCATCACTTTGAAAAATCCAAATTTGGCTGAAAATGAATTCCAAAATTTCCTCGTAGGCTATGCATGAAAATATGCACAAAACTACAAGTCCGCTTATTTCCTTGTGTGAGCAATTTAAAATTGGTGGGGTCCAAATCGGAGGAAACCAGTTCATTCCTACGCATTTTAAGCTTAAACGAAAATATGATGAAATTCGTTAGCCAGAATCTGTATTTTTCTCCCTCGCGAGCATTATGAAAAATTCTGAAACACGTTTTATATTGTTTTTCTAAGACCCCCCGTTATCGTGGTTTCGGTAAAATCGGAGTGAGACCGCTGGCGTCATCGCATTGTAAGTTAAGGGTCCTAAGTTCATACAGTATAGGCAGAAAGTCTTTCCACCCTAATACTTTTTGCACTTAAAGCGTTATATTGCTCGAGAGGCTTGGTCGAATGAACTGCAATTTTGCACAATTGCTTACCACGATGTAAGGTTTTCGAAACCATACTTTGGATAATGGGGTGGCACAACGAACGACACAGTGTAATTATATCCAAAATTTCAATAGGAAAAAAGTCTTTCCACCCACATTAAATTTTAATTTAAAATTTGTTTAAAATTGTTCTTTGTTATACAACAATCAAATTAGCATTTGGCATGTACACCTGGATCCTTTTGGAAGGCAGGAACACTTCTTGGTATCAACTCAACAAGTTGGTGACAGAGGTGTCCAACTTCTGCAATTTAAGTTTTATGGCGGCGTCTAATCTTTTCAAGCTAGATAGTTTGTGCTGAGCAATTTTGGGCTTCACAATTGACCATAGATGATTGTTACGATTCTGTCCGGTGATTGTGGAAGCCAGTCCAAGAATATAATCTTCTCTGTTGTCAAGCGATTCTTCAATAATTTTGATTTGTGCTTATGACCCCCATCCTATTTTAAAATAAAATTATTCCCCGATCGTAATTTCCTTCCGTCATCATCAAATTCCAACCAGAATGCCGCTATAGTAGTTGGAGTCCATGATTCCTTTGATTCAATCCAAATTTTTGAAGCCCTTCCACCACGTTCACGCATAAACTATTCGATTTCCACCCCCATGCATAATGGTTAGAGTACAATACCTGACCTTGTCTGTATTTTCTTGTCGTCTCCAGACCCGAGTGACCCAATTTGAACCACACAGATTCGTATTGGTCTCGTCGGTCCAGGGTATGCGTTTCCATTCTTTAACGGTCCGATTTAGGTACTTTTTAGCTAATTTCGAATGCATAGCCATAGTTGCCTTGAAGAGAAATAGCTTTTACCGCACAGCTGGGCCTTTAAATCCAGGTTCCTTGATTCTGTTCTTTATAATTTGCACATTAATTTGAAGGTATATTTTTCCCTCATTTCCAGTTGATTTTTAGACCAGTAACCGAGGATCTCACTGAATCTTAAAGAGGACGGCGTGATAGATTCTTGGGGTCGAAATCTGTAGTCGTCTAACATCTGACTGGTTGGCCACTATCCTAAATTGTTTGCACTACCGGACTGTTCCGGTAAATATCTACTTCCTCATAAGCAGTTTATCAAAAATTCTTTGGTGTCGAAGCCCATTACCATGAAATTTCACGACATTTTACCCGAAATCTGTGGTAAGGCGTTTTTCAGGTAAAGTGACCTAATATTAATGGCAAGCAAGTAGTTCACCGTTATAGAAATGCAATTTTTGAAAGAATTATGAACTATGAAGTGGGTGCATAACGATTTTGGACTATTTTTTGAAGAAATAAACTAAAAGTGCAAAGAAGTCATAGGGTGGAAAGACTTTTTTCCTGTTGGAATTTTGAATATAATTACACGGTGTCCTTCGTTGTGCTATCCCTTTATCCAAAGTATAGGTTTGAAAACCTTACATCGTGATAAGTAATTGTGCAAAATTGCAGTTTATTCGGCAAAGCTTCTCGAGGAAAATAACGCTTTACGTGCAAAAAGTATGCGGGTGGAAAGACTTTCTGCCTATACTGTACCTAAGTGTGTCCCTGGGTTACGTTAAATTTGGCCCCGTATCAAGGAACATTTGAGTTGCCAAGAAGCATCTTTGCCTTTTTCGCGTTGAATTTTTGTAAAGTTGGCATACATATTTTCGGTTTCAAGAAATTTATAATGGAGTAACTCTTTACATACACGGAGTTCCCCACGATCCCACAAAATAAATAAGTATATGTAGAAAAATACTAACTTTGGAGAAATTGTGGTGTCAGGTAATTTACATATGTCGAAATTGTAACTAAAAATGGGTAGGTATGAAGTGATCCTCTCCGATTTGACCCTACAAATTACAAATTTTAAATTGCTCAAGCACAGAAATAAGTCGACCCAAACGGTTAGGTTTTCTTGAATGGGCCCAATTTCCCTTTTAACTTAATTTTTGAATGAAGTTTCAGCTAAAATCATGATTTTGCATATTAATTAAAATTCGAAAGTCAAACTATTAAAATTAAAAATTACACAGTATGTTAGCTCTAAATTCATACAAAAGCGTAAGCCAATGAAATTCATACAAAAATAATTGAACATGAAAAACAGATACAGGGTGCCAAATTTATTCGTGCGAAGATTTGAGACGCCCGTGCTCACTGGCGGGTAAATAAAATTCAAACTTGAAGCCAAAATCGGGTAGAGCAACTCAAAAAATAGTTTTCTGATTTTTATGTAAACTTATTTTAAAAAGTGCGACCACTGTGCTCACATAAGGCAGAGGTACTATGTAAATAGTGAAACATTTTTCCAGCCGATTTTCCTCAGGAATCGTTATGAAACGGAGCTTAAATTATATTCACATAAAAAAATTAACAATTAATTTATATAATGGTGCATGGTAGACATTTTAAAATTAAATCCAACAGTCTAACATCGTTATCACTTTCGAAAAACTACCCCCTGCTAAACGCCCGAAAAAGCTGAAAATTTGGTTGGGCCACTTAACCCACCAGAAAATTCCCGAATCCCAATGCAGCATGGTCAAACTGTTAAAACGCAATGAACCAATTATCCCGAGACTAATTAAAACTGATTTGGGAAGGATTATAGCAAAAATGTCCTATTGTAATTACGAAGTGAGGTAATCGCATCTCTGGAGGTGATACATGAGTCGTCTTGAAATCTGAACTTTTGTCCATTCACCGACACCGCGTCATATTCACTCCTTGAAGAAGCAGTAACTGCATCAGTCCAATCTTTGTTCCACGCTAGAAAATTTAACTCTTGAACATTTTCCTTCCAGGTTTCGTCAAATTTCTGAAAGAATTATATGCAATTCTTAAGCTTAATATAACCGATTTTAAATCGATAAAAACATTTGAAACAATTATTTAAGTTTTTACTCCAATTTGCTCCAAAATACTGATAGCTTTCCCCCTATGTTTCTCAGTTGTACGTTTAGCAAATTCTAAGAGCCCATTGGGGAGGCAAGATTTTGTTGCCAAATATACTGAAATTGATTCGTGTTTTACACAAGTTTCAAAAAATAAAAGTATATGATCAATGACGGATTCTTCAGTTTTTGACCCTAGGTGTGAAATTTTTAGCAATACATCTACGAATCCTTCTGCCACAACAAGTCTTGCACCTTCTTCAACTTGAGATAGATTCCTCAGAAGAAGAATAACATCAATGGAAGCAGTCGTTAAGTCGAATGAAACTGTGTCACAAAAAGTATTTATTTTCTTATCGTAATCATTTGCAATCAGAAGCACCATTACCATCAATTTCAGTTTTATCCAAGTAGTATCCCAATGTTTGTTTCAGCCAAGGGAATATTTTACCATTCTGAACGATCGACTGAATGGAGACTTTCTGGAGGTCGATACAACCTAAAATCCCAATGCATTCCATGACGAACTCTTGATCACTAGAATTAATCAGTGCTGAAGCAATATCTCCTGCATAATCATATAAAACAAATGCAACGTCGTGTTCTGCTAGACATCTGACAATTTTCATTGCGAAAAAATCTTGGTTGATCGCGGATTTAATCAAAAGTCCCAATTTGTTAGTCTCCCATATCATCTTTGCTCCTCGTCTTGTCCTAGAGAGATTTAACACCAGACTTGCCACGACAGTTATAAAAGATCGTGTATCGGTATCAGAGTTTGTGGTAAGACATCGCATTAACTACATAATATGAGAATTTAGTAATTTATTTAAAAATATTTAGTTATTAGTAATTTACTAGTAGTCAAATTAATATTACCGAATCAAGTAAAGCCGGTTTTGCCAACTTTATTCTAATCAGCGAATCCATTGATAAAACATACAATATCCTTGCAGTGATTTCTCGAAACATGGATTTCTCTGCAAAAAGTTTTCATGTGAATATATGTAGCAATAGGTCGTCAATAAACAGCCAGTCAAATTAGATGTATATATATCGATTGAATTACCGAAGCAGTTGACAATGATGGAAATGAGTTCATAGTCACAAATTTTTTCACGAAGGTCGCAAGAAAATGAGAGATTGTATAACAAATGCAATGCATTGTTAACAACTTTCTTTGAAATTGGTGTGCCCTCTTTAAGAAGTGCAGCCAATTGACCTACAAGATCGACTCGGATCATTTCGTTAATGCATTGTCTGAAACTGGACAAATTTTGTAGAAACGATGTCACGACTTCGAGAAGCTCATTATCCCTCCGCTCTAATGTATCGCCTAGGGATGCGATCACCTTGTTCTCGTGCAAAGTCTCACGAACGCCCTTGTCTTCGGATAGGCAGTGAAGAATTTGAAATGAAACTGTATGCATAATGAAAAGTAGTATGTAATTCTCTAAAAAATTTTCAATATTAAGAAGAGTGTTGTCAATAGAATTACTTTTCAGCGACACGTTTTGAACAGATGTCAGCTTTTCAAGGCGAACCAATTTCTTTTGATGTTCATTCAAAGACCGGGCACTAAAAACACTGTCGTGCGCTTCTATCTCTAACAGTTGCGACTTCCACTTCTCACAACGTTCCAATTCAAAATCAACAATTTCGAGGATCAACATAGGGATTTTTTGATTGATGAGTAATTCATGGAAATCTCTGATTCTGGCAAAATTTAGGCAAATTGTGAGAATATGCTTTGTAAGTGTTGAAGACTTTTTAGAGTCTTCTCGCAATGTTTGGAAAACAGCGTTTATAGCTGAATCTGTATAATGTACGAAAAAAAGTTGGATAACTTTTGAAATAGGTGAAAATTATGTTGGAATATTTAGTTTGATATCATACCATGTCGAGATATTTCTTTCAAGTAACTGTTACATTTGGACAGTTTTGCTAAACAATTTAAACCTTCAATTTTATGAGGAATATCCTCATAAAGGAGGTCAACGTAATGATCCAATTTTCCAAAGTCAGGTTCCTCATCATTACTACTTTCATCCAATACATTTTCATCATCAAGACTGTCGAATATTTCTGGAAATCGTGGAAGATAGGATCCATCAGATGCAGTTTCTTTTTTAACCACCATCCCATTTTGATCATATTCTCGTAATTTCAATTCTTCAACAACTTCCACAAGATTGTGAATCATTGAATTGTCGATGAATGGACACATGGCTAAAATTTCTTTTGCAATTTTGTCGGAATTGTTGATGGCGTTAGATAACCCAAGTAAACAGATTGATTTCTTAAAATCCTAATTTAGAGACAATCCGTAAAATACACACTGCACACATATATATTTTAGATAATTATGATTGGGGACCGGATAGACCTCGACAATCTGCTGTGTTTCCCCTGTGACCGGAAACAGGATCGATAGCGTGACTTCTCCAAAGATCAAAAGCATCCTTTTTAGGGGATGCGGTTCAAATCGGAACACTTTTATGCAACGGCTTACTACCTCATTTTCCATTGTCTCACTAATCCAATAAAAAAAAGCACGATGAGCTTTAGTCGTTGTAAGATTGTCTACATGTTTATATTAGAAAACATACCAGAAATTAGATAAACGTATCCCCAGCTCCGAGGACATAGTTAGACGACTCATCATTGTACAAAGTTTTTTTAGAGTGATTTTATTTTTAATTGATACTACAAGAGTTGTTAATTATTTTCAGATTGACAAGTTCAAGTTAACAATAGAAACAAAAAATCTTACAAATAAAATGTACGAAAAATAATAAAGTATGACAAAAGCATGTCCATCGACTAAGGTGATAATTGTCTCGATTTACTCTAGCTGGATTCCAAACAATTATAATATATTAAATGTATCTTCCAAAAATCTAATCCAGCTATGCCGTTCTTAACGGGTATCATTTAGAGAATATTATTGTTCTATTTTTTTGCATTGATACATGTGTAGAGTATTTAAATTCCTTTTATTCCATAATGAGCTACAACCAATAAAATTGTGCAAACTAACCTTTCATAGTTACCTTCCCATCCCATTATTATGTAAATATATCAGAACTGATCGGGATTTACGAGGAGCAATGCAATCTCTTCTTCTCGTAAACTCAGTTTACTAAACTGGTACCTAATTACATGGATTTCTTGTCCTCGTGAATAAAGAAGGTCCTTTGATTTATGCACCTCGATCAATTGTTCCACTCGATATGATAATGGAAGTCATGAATTTTAGTGGGAGTCATTATTTCCCGTCATGCATTGTATATTATTATTTCTCGTCGCACTGTGAGATTCACCTTTTTGCATCATCTGCGCACCTGTTGAGCAACAATGTCTGCTGAAGAATGTGAGACTCTGCGTAAATAAATAGCTGTCTACTGATTGTTCTGCTATCTACATTGTTGAACTTATGCTGATGCCCGGGTTAGAGACGAAGGAAGAGTTCACTCACCGCTCACCATTATTCATTTCAATTGTGCACATTTTCATTGTATTTTCTATTGCAGTGCATATATCGAGAATCGAGATCTACCAGCCAACAAAACAGTGCCCAAAGGGTTGATTTTTAATAGCATCTGCTGTCTGGTGGTGCTCTTTTTCTTAGCAATTGCAAGAGTGAAGCGGTGACATTTATTCGTTCTACTTTGATTCATATTATTTATTGGTTTACTAAAATTCATTTCGAATTAATTAATTATGAACATTTAACGACATTTCGTACTAAAGTTTAATTGAATTGGAACATTCAAAATCAAAGTTTTTGAGTGATTCTTGGCGGAGAGGGTTTTTAATGTGTTTTTTAAAAGGAACAATCGTTCTAAGAATTGGAACAGAGTTTGCATTTTTATCATTTGAAGAGAACTACTGAAAATAGTGGTCGCTTTATTTGTGTAATTTTCAACAAGTGCAATATTTTAAGTTGGTCTTGCTAATTTTGGTGGTTACGCCCACGGATAAGTAAAGAATGGAGCTGATGAACGAGGAGGATATTCGTCAGTATTTTATATCGAATGGAGGTAGTGTTCGAAATACAGACATTGTCAATCGTTTTCGAGTCTACTTGTCTAATCCTGCCGTCAGAGGTATTTAAGGATAAATATTTTTCATGACATCTCGTGCACTTGCTGGTTTTAATATTTTTGTGTTATTATACATTACAATTCAGATGAGGCCCGAGTGTTGTTTAAAACTTATGTAAACAAATTGGCATCCGTCAAAGTGGAGAATGTAAGCTAAAATTATGATTAGTAATTAGTGTAATGCTGATTTCAATTAAACTGTGAATGGCTATATTGTTTGTAATTATTATGGAATGACAATTTACAATATAGAAATTATTATGCAATTAATTATCACAATATGATAGCTGTGTTATGATTTTGCATGTTTTTATTGCACTGACTTTTTGTGAGCACTATCACTTATCACATTTTCTTTTGTTTTTGTTTGCATTTTTGTCTGACGCATTGGCTACCCACCCTCCCCCTGCTGCTGTTAATCTTGAAGGGTGAAAAATTTCTCGTGTTAAAGCGACAATACTTTCAACCAACTACTGATGTGAACGGAAATCCAAAGCAATCGACATACGGGTATGGACCACCAAGCTCAGGAGGAGGATCAACAACAGCGATGTATGGAAGTGGGGGGAATATTAATGCACAAGTTTACAATCAGCAACCTTATTCTGCGCCTAACAATGCAAATCAATTAATAAGGCGACAAAATTCACAATCACAACTTTACGGATCGCAGTTTTCTCTGAGTTCCAATTATATGGATCCTTATAATAATGGACCTGCAAATACTTCTCAGTATCCAGCCCATCACAATGCCGCAAGCTCTGCGACCCCAGCCAATTTTTATCCAGCCTCCCACTATTCTCAACCACCTGCGCCAACATTATCACAAGCTCACAAATCTCCGCAGCAGCAGCTACCATTGCAAAATATTAGCATGCAGCAACAGCCTATTTATGGAAGTGCGACAGACTTTCCTCCAGAATGGTCTTCCTACTGTTCCAAGTACAGTGATATCTCCCCCACGAAGATTTGTCAGTCCACAGAATTCATATGGGAGCAGCAACAGTGGGGGAAGGGCACCACCCCCATATCGCCCTCCCCCACCCGCAGGAAGATTTACAACTTCTCCACCAACAGGAGGATTACCTCATGGAATATCAAGACGTAGCTCCATGACGGCAGTGGGAGGAGGTATGCCGTATCAGCGGACACACAGCGTTCCTGGTATGGGTGGATCACCATCATATTATTCGACATCGTCAACACAAAACATTAATGCTTTAATGGATTCGTCTACTGCACCTGGCATGTTCCAATATCACCGCAGCGCTTCAGGTTTTATTTTATTTGTGTTTTGCTTTATTTGTAATGAGAATTTGTTATGTGCATGTAATACACTGTTCTGTTCTGTAGTGTAATCTTAATTAGTGATGCATGTAACTCATGCAGAAAACTATACTCCTAATAAGAGTCTAATGCAAAGTGTGTCTACAATTATGTTGAAAAGTCAACTACTTGTTCCGCTCAACCCACCATAATCAGCACTAAAACTACTATTGACTAATCGCTCAAGATACTTTCAGTTATGGTGACGTTGGTTATTTGCACAGTCCATCAATATACAGATTACCTCATTTCGTATGCTAACTCATGAACTGGATTCATTCATACATATCAGTCAGTCAAATTGTTTCAATTGCTGATAATTTACGAATGCAATAATAAATATTCGGAGGGAATTAAAATTTCTTAGGGAAAAGTTATTTTATTTTGAGTTTGTTTTTTGTTTGACTATAAAAATACGTGAATTGTAACAAATTTAAACTATTTCGTTTATAGTTGAACTTACAACAACGCCTCAGTTTAACACACTACTTTCTAGCCAGGTAAACCTTGTTCTCAATTTCGGATTAATCTGTGAATAGGAATTAGGATTTTAACCTCTGAATCGTTTTCATGCCGTGACCTTCTGGTCTCTGATTTTCAATACAAATAAGTTCGTGACCGAGTGCATTCATTTTGAGGTGATTTCAAGAATTTTATAAAACGGGAGATATAACAGAATTAAAGAGTCAGGATGCAAATCAGTGGAAATTTACATAATGGCAAAATCGTGGTATACAAGCTTGTTTCTTGACTCTGGGTTAATCCATTGATTTTCTACGTTATCAAATTTCTTTTTCATTTCGTGATGGATCAATATCGTAATATCAATATCGATGGTAATATCTGCCTTACGTATCGTACTTCTGTGCTCTCGATAAAGTCAGCACAACCGTTTATTGACTTACTTACTTAATAAAGAAAAGATTTCGCATACATACATACATGATTCATCATTGCATAAATCACACTACATACATAGGCATATCTTGCCTACACGCATACTGACTGGAAATGAATGCTGATTCCAACATCCTCCCTAAATCTTGTTAGTGGGAAAATTGGCACATTTTTCAATTAAATGACAATTAAAGCCTACAAATCTAAACAAACAAGATTTCTAACTGAGAGTGACTAATTCATTTTCTCAACTTTATTAAAAGGAATCTAACTATTTTACTCCGAATCTGACTCCTCTGCTGCTGGTGCTTCAACTTGTACGTCAGCCTTGAGTTTCACACTTTTTGCTCGTGGCATCCTCGGTTGGGGCTGAGGTTTCTGCATTTTATTTTTCCAATACCACACACCAGCGATGACAATGATGATGATGATGATCAACGTGGTTCCTCCACTTGTATACGTCATGGGATGATTCCAATCCACATCTCCATCAGACATCTCAGGTTTCGTCGGCAGGACCAGTGGGTGCTGTTTAAGACTGGAAAGATTTACTCTGGGTTGTAAGTGCCAGTTTGCTTTTGCTGTGAACAAGGGGTCATATTTCTCCTCCTGGTCCAGATTTAACTGTGAAGCAGTATACATATTATTATTAATCTTAAAAGTTAATGCTGCTGGAAGCACAAAAACTCCATCAGGACAGGGCTGGGTCTTTCCCTCAATGGTCAACTTGTTCCCCTGGCAATAAATGTGATTCATCCCTTCTTGTTGCTTGACTTGGATGAAATTCACTTCATCACGCTCTTGACTTGCATCACATCTATCCGGGCGGAATAATTGATTCTCTTGAGCGTGATCTAAATTATTCTCGCAATCCCCAGTCGGTGACAGGATCATGTTTCGTTCTGCATGCTTTTTCATGCCGGTATGATAAACGCAGTGACCTTCGTCCGAGACAATTATGTTAGTGGGCCCGATGTACTTCACTTTGCAAGTATGGTTGGCATCTGGTTTCATCATGATATCGAATGGATCTGCCTCCAAGATTTTAAGTTTATGATTTATGACTGGAGAGTCAAACTGCATGTAAATGTCCTTCAAGTCTTGATGAAAGAAGCATTTCTTTGTTTTAGCTAGCGAATAAGGACAATCTTCTCCACATGGCAGAGTCAGGTTAAGAAAATCCATAAGACCAGAGTTCAGATTTCCTTGTTTCCATTTTCTTGTACTCTCCTTTATAACATGCCGAGCCAAAATGAATCGTGACGTTAAATACGAAATAGCGTAGGTAAGTCCGATTTGCTTGCCTTTTATTTCTGCAATGTCATTCGTATTCTGCTCCACCACGTCTACGAGGCTATTAAAACCTAGCTGTAGATTACGGATTGCATACTCGGTCATGTTTACTCTGGATTCCAATTCTTTTATTTGCATCTCCTGTTGCCTCTGCACTTCTTTCATATCAGAGAGAGTTCCTTTATTATGTATCGATAGCCCAAATGCCGTTCCGGCTCCTGCCCACAGAACAACAGAGGCAGCAATTGCTCCAATTATTAGAAATGGAATAGCCCTCTTGGATCGTCTCATGATGTACATGGTTTCATCCTTGGGACACATTGCTTCTAATTCGTGAATTACATATTCGTGATACATATCGTTGCATCTCTGCAGGGCTTCATCCGTTCCATTGATGTACAATACAGCTTGAGAAAGAAATATTGGACATGGATTCACAAGTCTCACTCTCAAAAAGACTTGATTCGATCCTGCAACAACTGGTGTGCTGCTCTGTCTCCATAAGATCGGGACCGAGTTTTGCAAGTGAAATCCTGTCGCTTGCATGCATACTGAGAGTAAAGTCATTATTGCGACGCAACTTGATATTATGTTCCTCCCTGCGTCGCAACTTGATGCCACATTCCTCCCTTGCTCTTTCAATCCCAGTTTCATCTTCATCTCGCCGTGCTTATTCTTGAGTAGTGGCTTCGTGAAAATATCAGCAAGTTGATTTTCTGTTGCCACGTAGGGAACCTGAATTTTCCCTTCTTGGACCAAATTCCTAGAAAAATGGAATCGTGTATCGATATGCTTGGTACGGGAGTGAAGTTCAGGGTTGTTAGCTAGCTTAATAGCAGAGGTGTTGTCGACACAAATGTCAATAGGGGCATGTTGTTTATATTCCAGTTCATCCATCAATTTTCTCAGCCACAAGGCTTCTTTTGCGGCGGAGGCCAAGGCAATGTACTCTGCTTCTGTCGATGACAGGGCGACGACAGACTGCTTATGTGAGCTCCAGCTCACCGGATTTCCATTCACCATAAACACGTAACCAGACGTGGATTTTCGGTCAATTTTACACCCTGCATAATCCGAGTTCAAGCGTGTTGAAATTGATTGATTGATTGATTGATTGGTTGATTGATCGTCGTAGATTATTCTTCTGTGGATTATAAAAATTCGACTAAATAAATATTTAACCGATTTTCATTAAAAGGAATTTATTAAAGAATAATATTCATCATTTCATTTCGGTATTAATTGCCTTTTAATACCAATTGTTTCTCTGAGTACAGCTTCATTCACAGTCTCACAATTCTTTTTATTCTTGTTGATATAATCAGAACTGAATTTGTTCGTATAATACATTAAACTTGGATTTTTAATTATTTCGAAGCATCATCCTTTTCAAAAATATGGGATACTTGAAAACATTTACCGTGGTTTTTCTCTTAGCCACAATCTTCCTGATCGAAATTGAAGGGAACCGATACAAGAGGGAGGGCGAGGTTAAACTTATTCAGTTACAAAATCATTCATTAAATAGTTAAGATTTGGAAAAAATTAGTATGTATTTTCAGGGCGACGAGAATAATAGCGGTGGAGGTCAAGATGCATCTAGCGGAGGTCAAGATGCAGTGGAAATCAAAGATCCAGTTAGTGGAGATTCTCCGACGGACGGATCAAAAGACAGTCTTCCAGATGCCGGTAGCAAAACTGCAGATGGGAAAGGTCGCATATAAATTTTGATGTTTAAAGTAATATCAAATCAAAGCAAGTTTTGAAGGCAGTTAATTTCCTTTTTCGAAAAAAACTATGCAGGATGCGACGCATACAGCGATGCGTGTGACAAGATGGAGTGCTGCGTAGATGAAAACGATCCGCTGGAATGCATCAAGACTTGGAAGACTTGGAGTCATGGACATGTGCAAAAGAATCAGAAAATGTGGATTAGCGCAAAAAATATGGAAATTTATATTAATTTTGCATATTTAAATCATTGCTGAAATAAATGCGTTGAAATATGTATCGCAGGATCATTATCCATTGTTGATTTGAAATGTTTTATAACTTCCGTGAGAAAAAACTATAAAAATGTTTACAACAAAGGTTTAACACTTGATTGGGTTGTAAAGATTGATGTTGTACTCTAATTCCTCATGAACTTTATAGTTCTCTTTCTGCCATCGATATTAAATTCTAATTTCCTTTCATATCCAATTTCATTTATAAGGAAAAGTGATGATGAGGATGTTCAGGAATATATCATTTTTCGTCATTATTTCAATTTGGTAAATTTAGGTTATTTAATAAACACTAAATTATTATTTTTCATGAAACTAATGCAATTATTTTTGAAGGTTCGGTACGTTTTGGAATTAATTTTTGTTTCTGGCATGAAATTGTATCAAAAATCTAATATTTGTCTGTCCCATGAATTTACGCACCGGTATAGCTGCAGTGCTCGGCAAACCTGGTATTACAATTTTACTGTAATTTGTATCCCTTAAATATATCCAAGTCCACATTTTTGTCACATGTCACATCTACTTTAGAAACCGTGCACTTCACCGAAAATCTAAAGCAGGGCTATCTGGATAGCGGCGTCCTTCAAAAGACAGATGGTGAGCACGTTTGTTACAAAGATACGGACCCGACCTGTATGCGGAATGGATTTCCGCACCACTGCTGTGACCCCGAGCAGGTCTGTAGGAATCAAAAATGCCAACGTTGCAGCAAATTAGACACTCCGTGTGGATCCACGCCAACCGGATGTTGTAAAGGTTTACTGTGCGGTGGAAACGGGAATTGCTTCGGTAATTCATTTCAAATTTTTTTGCCAATTTTTCTCCTTCATGTTTCAAAAGTGACAAAATTATATTATTTTTCCAAGATAGTTCTAAATGTCTCCAACCCGGCGAGACTGGGTGTGCGGCTACTTGTTGCAAACAGGATTATCATCAAATGTGGTTCAGCAAATGTGTGGATGACAGATGTATTGCCACCGCGAAAAGAGGGAAGCCTTGTAGTTCTGCAGACGAATATATAAAATGTGAAGCAGGGTCCAAATGTCAAAATGGGGTTTGCAAATGTAACTGTTTTTTGTAGATTGCATAATTAGCCAAATTTTAAGAAATATTTCCATGTACTCAGCCGAGGTGGTGGAAGACAAGTGTTCCGCGTTAATTGGAATGGATGAGTGTGGCTCAAAGTGCTTCGGCGGTGGTGGGGCAGGGTGTCGGCTAGCGTGTGACTTCGCCACGGGAAAATGCAGCCAACCGCAACATGGGGACGATTGTCTCGTTTCGTTGGGAAAGTGTAAAAAGGACAATTCCAAGTGTTGCGATGGATTTCACTGCATTCCTGGGGGTCGGAGGGGACATCTCGGTAAGAAATAATAAGGCTAATGCTTCATTATATAATGGCAGGTACGGTAATTAATAATTTTTATGTTTTAAGGCGCTCCATGTGCGGGGATGGCAATGGCAAACGGAGCTGGGAAAGCTAATTGTATAGACGAATACAACAAGAAGGGATGTGAGAAATGTGGAGGTACTTGTAATGAGAAGCGATGTGAATTACCTAAGTATTTGACGGATTAATCCTTTAATTTGAGAAATATGCTTTCCAGTGTAGTAATTTAAAGTGTAGTAAGATTTTCTTGCTAATTAAATATGAACTGTAATCCCAGTGAACTATCACATGAATTTTATAAAATTATGGTAGTTAAATCGTGAGGATTAAAAAAAAATCATCATTTAACGAAGCGTTTTTATATTTTACATGACGTGTTAAATTATGGTATATATTTCCAGGTAAAGAGGTTTTTATAAATAGTTAAGATGAATAAAAATTCGTACTCAACACACTGATACAGCGGTGTACGGTCTAATTGGTAAATACATGAGTATAAATTTATAATTGTTTAGAATTATTTCATCTTTAAATTATGAAAGTCAATACTGTTTTGTACTTATTTATTTTAATGGGGACCATGATCACCGTCCTCGAAATTGCATCGAACTGGTTTATCACTTCTATAAAAGAGAGAAGAAAGTTTCAGAAAACAAGGAAATCGTTCCAAAAATCATTATTTAACCCCCTTTCCTTTCCTCCATTCGGTCGTTCATGCGTTTTCAAGTGATACTGGAGGTGAGTCTTCATTTTAAAACTTTTCGGACAAATATGACACTGATGTGGTCTAACTTGATCGTGTACACTGAAACAAAATAATGTTTAACATTAGGCAAATCAATTCGCATTAATTGATAAACCCTTCAATAGCAAATGGGTACTAACTTTTTAACATGATTCCTCAAAATATCCATGTGCTTAAACCAAGCACCACACTGGCCGCACAATACTTTAGGTTCTACTTGATGTATCATAATTTTGTGCTTTTTCAGACATCGCTTCACCAGAAATACTTTATCGCAGATGTCACAAGGGAACTTTGGAGCGGAATCTATATCATGAGTTAGCATGTGATGTTTCTCCAAGTCGTATTTCTTTTTGTACGACTTCCCACAGGTTTGACAAAGAAATGAAGAGGTTAAATCGGCATAACGTATTCTAGCAGGTTTTGCTTTAGGTGAACAACTTTCTTTTCTTTGTTTTTGTCCTCGTTTTTTGTTCGGCTTGAGAGATTTTTTCTTCTTTGATGAATCATGTACAGGAAAATATTCCTCTTGATCGGATTTATGCTCTGGTTCGATTTCTACTGAATAATTCTCGTCGTCGCCAGGAACACTTTGTTGTTCCCCATCGTGTGTTTCATTTTTACATGTGGGTGGTGATTTTTCTTCTTTATGTTTTGTCTTGCTTCGTGTCCTATAAATTTCTACAAGAAATGGATTTTCCGTTAGAAACCCACGAGCATAATAAATAAATACATATACAGTTTAATTTTCCACATGTTTTACTTTCTGGTTCAATTTTCATTCCGAGATCAGAAAAACTATATTTATTGTCTTCCTGCATGAACTCGTCTTCCTGGTGGGTGGTGAAAGCATCTCTAATTGCAATGTCTTCCTCAATTTTGATGGAAATTCCCCCTTCAGCGTTAATAGAATTTTGAATAATTGTCAGGAGGGAACGTGTGTCTGGAAAATGTTGGCTAATTAGCTGATGCAAATTTTGTCTCAACTCGTCATTAATTTCTACAGAAATCGGAATTAATTAGATGACAGAAATATCGCACATGCAAAAATTTATCTTCGAGTCTTACCAATTGTAGATTTTAGCAATACGTTAACATGCAATTCCAACCGAGCCATTGATGCTGAAAAGTCACCTATTTCAAATAAAACTTGCTCCATTTTAGTATTTGGTTAATTTTTGTAAGAAAATATTTAAAATGTAGTCCTTTATTACGATTGAGAAAAACATGTGTGAATTGAGCGAAATATTTTACCGGGGCTCTGTCAATGTCTTTGTTCACTTGAGAGAAGTTATTTCGCATGCAATCTTTTTTCATGTGAGAGTCTCATAGTGAGACTTCAATTTGGCGATTGCTTAGCATTGATATAATTTATATTAATTTATGACTTACTTCCAATTGTGTGAAGTAAGCTTGAAAGTAAAGTAAAATACTTTTTTATACTTAAACTCGGTTTAATCGTATATTAAACGACAGAATTGCGTATTGCAATTAGTTGCATTTTTAGTCATTTTTAGCTCATGATATTTTAATCATAGAGACATTCAATAATATTTATGAGTATTATATGTACCTACCATAAAATTGGTTATGAATTAACTTTCTCTCCAAAGTCCAGTGTACTTGTAATCTGATGATTGTGTGGAATTTATTGAATTTATGTAATGTGCACGTGAACACTATCAAGTCATTGTCAATTTGATTGATTTCACAGAGAACATATAGCACGAGTATATGTAAGGGATTTAGTTCTTCAGTTTGGGTTAGAACGGATCATCACCATCATAGATGTTATTTTTACCATTGCGTTTTGCAATTCTTGCATGTTTTTTTGTACACTACTAGTCGTAGTCGTCGTCTTCTTCCTTCTTCTTCTTGGTAGAAGTGGAAAGAGAAGTTAGGTTTGAAATAAGTTGTGTGATTTTACCAGTCTGCAGGAGTAGGTAGTAGTAGTTTGTGTGGTACCGAGAAATGTTTCAAATGAAGCAAGTCTGGTTATTTTGTTGTGCATACATAGTTGTTGTACCATTGACGACTTCCTTCTTTCTTCGTACTAGTCGTATTCATTGTACGTTAAACGTGGGTACAGAGTCTGTAGACAGTCTGTACATACTAGGTATTTGTGCATAAATTGGGAGCAATCTTTTACCCATTTTTCTCTTTCTCTAGCTGCAGTGGATAAAAAAGTTTATTATTCTTATTATTAAGACAGTAATATGCAAGGTTGTGTCTAATTGATTGATTAATTGATTGTGACCATTCTTGTTTTTTTAAAACTATAGTTGAGAGTTGGTGCGTAAAAGCTGAATTATGGAGAACGCGTACGGGATAGGAATTACCAACCGGTTTGGTTGTTTCCTCCGAAGAGCTTCTTCCGACTCTGAGGATGAAACTGAAGAAGTATTGATGAAGTCTTCCGACGTTGCGCCCAAACCCAAGCCTAAAATTGCTGAAAAGGAAAATCAAAAGGTTGACGGTTCGGCAAAATTGGATAAAACCAATGCAGCTGCAAGGAAGGGGATTCGTGACTCGAACCAAAAAGGCAATGATGCGGCAAAGGGACAAACTGGTGGAGTTGGTAATAGGACAATTACGGCTAACAATGATGGCGGTCAACAGAAACAGAATCGTCCCCCACGAACTGATCGGCCACCATTTGACAAGGAACGAGGCATGAAATTTTCGGAAGATGATCGTGAAGAACGTAACAATCGAAGAAATCGTGATGATGGAAGCCGGTAAGAAATGAAACAAAGCAAATTATGATATTAAGTTTGGTTGTGTTCATTACATTATTGCTTTCTATATTTTGTTACTCAGTGGAGACGCTGGTGATTTTGGTGACCGCCGAGGTCGAGGAGGGGGCGGCGGCGGCGGATTCCGAGGTGAGCGTCGAGGTAGTGGACCACGTGGAGGGGGTGGAGGCGGAGGAATGTCTCGTGGTGGACCCAGGAAACGTGAATTTGATAGACAATCTGGTTCTGATAAGAGGTCGGTTTGAATACAAATTTAATTTTTTTTAATCAGTTTTAATGGAGAACATTTTCCTTTAGTAGTGGTGTGAAATCCGTGGATAAACGTGAGGGTGGTGGATCAAGGAACTGGGGTACTTATAAGGATGAGATTGAGTAAGTCATAGTTCTCGTTGTTGGATATTTTTTATAAATTTTATTTCCATCACCAGAAATTCTATTCTATTTCAAATAGACTATGCTAAATTATAATTCATGTTTTATTATTTCAGACCGGAGACTACTTTGAATACAACTGTTGGCGAGGAACCTACGGATGACAAAATTGAAAAAGATCATACGGATGAAAAGTATGTAGCATTATTATTATTGCATCTTTTTTTACCAGCAAAACTGTTTTTCACAAGTAGTATTTATATGATATAAATTATATCTGTATTTTAGAAAAGAGGAAAAGACAGAGGGTGAGGAAGCTGTTGAAAATGGCCCTGCTGAACCGAAATTGATGACCCTTGAAGAATGGAAGGCTGCACAGGTAGGCAGATTTTTTTTTTCTTTCATAATACAAAGTTGAAGAAGGGATCCTTTTTTTCTGTTCTATACTAAACCGTCTAAACCATGTCTTTCTTATATTGTAGCAACCAAGACAAAAGCCGGTGTTTAACCTTCGAAAAGCTGGCGAAGGAGAAGATCAAGCCCAATGGCAAAATCTGACCTTGAAAAAGAAGGAGAAAGTTGTTGATCAAGAAGAAGAGGAAGTTGAAGACGAAGAGGTACATGTGCTGCTGATGAACTAAAATTCCATGCAATTATTTCCATCAAATTTTATTAATTGTTATTTTAAATCATTATTATTTAGGAATATGATTGCCCCCAACGAGCTGGCCGACAGAAGCAAGTCTTGGAAATTGATTTCCACTTTGCCGATTCCCGACGTGGCGGACCAAGTGGTGAACGTCGTGGAACTGGTGGACGTGGACGAAGCAGCACTGGAGATCGAGGAAGTGGTATGGATCGCGGAGGAGATCGCGGAGAACGAGGTGGGGATCGCACTGGAGATCGAGGAGAACGAGGTGGAGATCGCGGTGGGGATCGGGATCGTGGAGAGCGAGGTGGTCGTGGAGCTCCACGTGGAGGTGGTGGATTCCGCGGTGGGCGTGACAGCGGTGAGGGAGGAGGATTCCGTGGTGGATTCCGTGGAGGACGAGGTGGTCGCGATGTAAGTTGTCTATTTTTTTTATTTATTAATGTTACCCAATAAAAATTAATTGGTTTATTTGTTATTTTAGGATCGACCCACACGTCAAGCTGCTCCACGGGTTGATGACGTGAACGATTTCCCAAGCTTGGATTGATCCCGTTCATATGCATCACATCTCAGCATCTTCTTCAGTCAAGAAACATCAATATACTACTACAACTAAACCAACCAGCTTATACCCGTACTTGCAAAAAAATAACAATTCACACATTCAACCGCCATCTATAACAAGAGCTAAAAATATTTGAATTGTTGTTTTTAACAAAAACATCGTCGACATTAACCAAGATCTGAAATAGTCGAAACAGTTCTCCAACAGCTCTTATTCACCTTCTCTCTTCTGTAAACGGAGTTGTCATTCTTCGATTCATATGTGCATTTTCTTACAACAGTCCTTACGCAAATAACGTAAAAATATTATCACGTATATAATTTTAGTGGCAGTTCTCCAGTAAAAAACTGGGATATATAAGATGCCTAACTTTTTAATTAGAGCAAATAGTATATATATATATCGATAATGTCGCCGTCGTCTGTATATTGCATACTTTTCTAGTTCATTAGCAGTGTGTTCTATTTTACCTGAAAAACACGCTGTACTGTGAAGTAAAAAAACACATACGTTCGTTTATTGTTAGAGAAAAACTAAGTTGTTTTCCATTTCTATAATCTATATGATTCTCTCTATATTTACATATTTCAAAAAGAAAAATAAGGAGCTCTGTATGTACCACGGTAAGTTACTTAATTGTGTCCGAATTTAGACTTATCATGGGCAATGGTTTATTATTATTATATAAAATATGGTTCCGGTTAAACGTAACACGCGGAGAACGTGTATAAGATACGCACTAGTTGAGGTGCCTAAAGGTTTACCACTAAAATATTAGAAATATTAAGAAATTGTTGATGCATGATATAGGATGGGTTGTCTTTTAATACTGTTGGGCTATCATCACCAAGAGGGAAATAATAGGTTTCGTTTAATTACTCCTATGATTGTGGGTGACTGTTGTGATAACTTTCGTATTTGTGAAGAATTAATGACAACTTATATGCCTCAGTGTGTAAAATCCAGTTACTATGTATTATTAGTACCAACCCTAACTAAGTATATGCACATGACTTTATCCCTAATTGTTATTAAGTAAGGGTTAATTAATAGCTAGTTGCAGTCATATTTTTAACGAATTTTTTTTGTTTTATCTATCCAACTTAAAAAAATTAAAATACAGGTATACAGACTTCAAAAAATCCTTTGTGCCCTTTTATCAATCTCATCCCCGTTATTTGTCCCGAATCATTTAAAAAAAACTATTTGGTTACCGTTTATCCGTATCTGTAAAATGAGTGAATAGATTCACCGGAAGAGAAGATGACCGACTACCATCATCATCAGTCATCCACATTTAACAATTGATTAATAATGAATAAAATTTCCCATCATCATTAGTTATTATTATTATTATAAATATATTATAATGATAATAAGCTATTATTACACAACTATTCTATGCATACAGCCAGCCTGTGTTAACTTATAGAGCTCATAGACTTAACATGTCGTAGGAGGTGAGGAAAGGGGATGAAATGAAAGAAGAAAAGTATTGGATATTTCTAGTTTATATTTCAACAACGAAGAGAAATATAAACTAGAAATATCTGAGAGATTTTCTTTATACTCTTGACCTAGTTTGTTAGTAGTATGACGAGTATATATAAATATATTTGAATATGTCGATGTTATAATAAGTAATTCCTTAAAAATTCAAAATTATACATACGACACAATAACTTTGTTCGTTGTTGTTGGCAATTTATGCCATGTTTGCAACAAAAAAAAACAAGTCAATTAATCATTGTTACGTATGTAGTAGAGCGAGTATCATCATCCCAAATTTATTATTGTTATCGAGTGCCCAGTGTGATTTTTTTGGTCCAACGATATTGTTATTACATGTTCGATTGTTGTACTCAAACATTAATTTAATATTATTCTGTTGAAATTTGTCACGATATGGCGTGTGTGGTAGACTATGTACACAGAAGAAAATTGTACAAAATTCCTAAATCATGAACTGTTTTTGTCATCACTCACTCGTGTGATTAGAGATTGATATGTTTTTCTTCTTGTTTGCTAATAACTCTTCCTTCTTTTTATTAATAGTGTGAAGTTTGCGAGACAAAATTATTTGATTGATTTGAATTTTATTATTAATAATAGAATAATATTAACTAATTAGTCGTAGAAGTAGTGGTCCAAGAATATATTGTTATCTTAAAAAAATAATATTCTGTAGCTTTTTACTGAGCCTGAAGAAACCGAAAAAATGTACATAAGTTATGGTTCGTATTTTTATGGTTATGATGATGTTATTAAGTTTAGTACTCTCTCAAGTTTTTTTTAGTTTATTGTTCCAATAAGAGACGGCCAACGTAAGTAAATCTATAAAATCTGTATACTTTTAATAAATTTGGTCCATACATTATCAATTCTTGAAGAAAAAATTGAGGAAGCTCAAAAAAAGTATCATTGTTAACGTGTTCTGCGTTTGATATGAAAAATACTACTGCACACATAAAAATAATAATCAACATTTATAGAGGCTGGTGTGACATCACATTTAAAATTTACCAATTAGAAAATTGCAAAAATGTGTTAGCTAAAAAAACTAAAACAAAAAGTTTTTTGAGTTAAATAAAAAGAGTGAATAAATTAAGTACAAACAACAACTACATTTATTTTGAACAGTTAAACATAACTTGTACTTTTTCATATATCCAAAAGCCGCACTTGAAATATTTGATTGATTATGCATATGTATGTATTCAATGGTTTTTGCATTAGTTATAAATAATATAAATGTTGGCAATGCATAGAAATCATTAATAGTAAATAACTGAAAGGTAAAAGGCATATTCCTTGGTAGCGACAATATAGTACTACAAGTGGGAGCAATTCTTCTTGGAGAATCAAGCGTCCAAAATCTTTTGAGAGGCGTCTTGAATGGCACAAACAACAATTTTTATTTCATCACGAGTGAGCAGTCGATTGACGGCTATCCGGATGCTAGGTGTAGGTATCGAGGCTTCTTGCTTCTCCAAATAGCTGGGTTTCACTAGAGCAATCTTGTACTCCTCTTTTACCTGTTAGATACCACATTAATTTATAACATTTTTCGCCTTCAAAATTTTTAAAATTTTAACCAAGATTATTCATACAGATGATGATTATTATTGTACTTACAAAGAGGATTATCTGACTAATTACTGAAGACGTTTCCTCGTTGGTTCGCTTCACGAAAGGGTCTTTTAGAACGATATGTTTAATGGGAGCAAGTTCGTGGCCAATGACACGGAAATGATCCAATGTTCGCAGGGTCCTGCAATTGCATTCATATATTAGCTTGACATTACACATGGTTGAGCTTTTGCTAATTGTGTCACTTACTTGTGAAAAAACTTGCATTTTTCCTGGAGATCAAGTACCATCAGTGGATTCTTTTCCATCAAACTTAATGATTTGATTCCAACTCCGGCCAGTAAAGGTGGCAACGAAGCAGAGAAACAATATCCTAAATACATTAGTATATTTTAAAATAGACCAATTTTAATAGTTTTGATACTTGAGTATAATGTGACGTACCAAGACCAGAAATACGTTGGTGGTCAACAACGAACGAAGGTCCAACTATAAAACCACCAAAAGCAGCCATAGCATGCTGCAAACTTCCACTGATCAAGTCGAGATCACGGATCTAAAATCGATCGAATTAATCATTAGAATAAATTTTCATATGTAACAATTAATGTAATAATATATGTAGACTTATTTACGGGAACGTCGACAAAAACACGAACTTTATTCTTCCTACACATGATAGTAATTTCTTTTAATGGACAGATTTCACCGGTTTTTGAATAAATTCCTTCAACGACACAGAAACGACGAATAGTTTTTGCCTTTGTTGGGTTCTGAGAAAAAAATAGCAATTAATTTTTATTTCTATTTCTGCAAGTTGCAGACTGCAACTATTAGCATTATAATACGCACATTGCCTAAATTATGCTTTTTCGCTTTTGGTTGTACATAACTGTAAGTTATGTAATAAAACGGATAACAAACTGAGAACACTCTAAATTATTCATATTTTGAACTGCATATTTAGATTGAACCTACCCATCCGTTGTGAGCAAGGACAAAGCGTGCATCATCATCACTTGAAAGCAATTTCTCTACTTGAGCAATACTTTGATCTTCTTCCAGGTGCAGAACATTCACAAAATATCTGTCAAATAATAATAACTTATTATTATACGCTTTAGTGATCTCATCTCCTGATAGATATGGCTATAGCTAAAATACCTGTGACTAAGTGGATTCTTCTCAGTGACCTGTGGCAGTTTGGGTCCGTCATGTTGCAGTCTCTCATATCTCACGCCAGCAATGACATTCTCCACTGCGGCATGCAAATGGGACTGGACCAAGTTGTACATGTCCTGATGATTGGTCACCAGAACGCCACCACAGAAAGATCTTAGATGTCTTAAATTGTACTAAATTAAATTAAATTACCTCATTTAAGCGATACAAATGGTGCCGGAAGAACTCTACGATATTGCGGATCTTGAATAATTTGTAGGTCTGTAGGAGCGAGATTATTATTTGCAACTGGCTTCATTTCACCATCTTCAACCAACTTTGAAAAATTATCGACCAATTCGTCAATGTTGAAGAGGAATATTTCATGGATTTTCAGATTTGGTAACAATTCGTCCTTTAAGATGGTTCTTATCACCTACTCAAACCATTTCATTCGTTCAATCATGAACAAAACATGTAATATTAAAAGTTAAATGTAATAATGTTTAAAAACATTATTATTTAAATGTAAAATTACATTTAAATTGTCTTCTGAATTGATTTTTGATGGGAGGCCTCGTTTGGCATATTTTTCTTGTCCAATATCACGACCAAATTCGGAGATGATGCAGTCCAGTAAGTAGGCAGGACGAAGATGGGGACTATTTACCAGATTATAGCCGGATTCAGGATTTGTTTTCAGCCATGGCGTCTCATTTGCAGTGTGGTTAAACACCACGTCGCATATTGATAAGACCTAAGACCAGACGAAGAAGGGAAGACTAATTATAATTATCCCTTATTTTTTATATATATTAAATGTGAGCTTACACCCCACTCCTCCTTCATGTCGTTCACAATCTTCTGTACGTCACCAAACTTGACATCATTACCAAAGATTGGGTTCAAGGCGAGCTGGTTGGAAATAGAGTAGGATGAGTTTGACTTTCCAAGCTCCTGTAGAGATAAATTTCAGAATTTCAAACTATAATTAATCCTCATTAAGATGAAATATGTAGTGTCATATCGACCTACCTGTACAGGTGTGAAATGAATCATATTATACCCAGACTGATGTGCAACTTCTAGGCATCCCTTCCACTCTGTCAATGGACCCAATGACTTGGGGAAAAAGGTCTGACAACAGATAGAGTCCAAGGCCAAGACTTTGTCATTTTTTCCAATTCTTAAAACTGGATCTACTAGGAAGTAACCGCTCCCCGACTTTTTGCTGTGACCGAACAATACATTTATATACACTTGTCCTTTTCCCAAATCTCTCAAGTACATAGTGTTAAATTACTCACCCATCTTTCTCAAAGTAGAATTGAAAGCATCCTGAAACCAGTGTCGTTAAGCTGGTAAAATTTTCTTCGTTCTCATTGTCCACCACCCAATCGACTTTATGATGTTTGTCTAACAAATGCGTCCTCTGAAGGTGACGTAGGATGATTGCAGAATAATGAAATGGCGTGGCCATGAAGAGACGTGGATAATCTGAACTTCAAAATTGTTCCTGTAAAAAAATAAAAGACAATAGCACATCAATAAATATGCATTACGCACATGCATACAAAAACATTTCAAAAGCTATATCCCACCTTTCTCGACACGATAGACAACGTCTTCAGAATTTCTTTCTTCCAATTGTATGACTCGAATTTGTTGGGGCTGTTCCTTCTCCATTTTGATTTTTAAAACAGTTTATCCAATTTCACCAATGCAATTCCGGTTCTAAATAAAAAGATAATACCGATTTATTACTTTGCTGTTTTCATTATGTTTGTAATTGCATGAATGTCTCAATTGGTACATAATTAATAAAGCACATGCAGAAATCAATTCAGATTCTACGCTAAGTAAGTACTTTAATTTGACATAAATTATGCATTATCCTACACAAATTCATACATTTGTTACACTACAAATTCTGTACATTCAGAGAAACCTCTTCGATTAAAACTTGCGTGAATCCTTGTCTTAATAACCAGCCATGAAAATAACTAGCCATGAATAATGTAATCAATTTGACTTGTCTTACCGTATTTCAACAACTAGAGACGATATCACATCGGGTTACAAGAAATGGTATAATTAAACACAATTGTAAGTAAACACTACAGTTAGTTAAAAAAAATAAGAAAGAGCCGTCCAACTCAAATAACAACATGCTAAACAGTTGATGCTCAAGGTTTCATCTTTCTTGCATCTATGCATTATAGCTGATGCTTTTCTCCTCGTGCATGAAATGATCATCTCGTATAGCCGAGAAGTTGGGACAGGATTTGGCTGTTACATAACATTTCTTGGCATGTTCTCATAAGAATGATGCTGTATATGACAAGTGAAAGATCGCTTTACGCAAATAATATATGCAAAAATTGGCATAATTAATCATAAGTATGTTGTTGTGTGTTGTTCCACCCCCATTTTCATTCATTTCACTCATTTCGTACATTTAGATACATAAGTAAATTAATCTTTTCATAACACATGTAATAATAATTGCGTTATGTATATATTGATTAGTTAATTCGTTACCTTATAACATAAATTATACAAAAATGTAGTGCTTTGCTAATGTTCTCATAAACTGCGATCGCCGCAGAGATATTGCTTCTCGTTGAATTTCTTCATTGTTATTTGAATTCAATTCTAAAAGGCCCATCACTTTCACCTGCAAAGAAAATTTCACAATAAAAATATGGGAAATGCACCTGGTAATAGTGAGCATGTATAAAGGGTCCTTACAGCTTGTTGTCGTTTCGCCATTTCGTTCCTCTTGGTATGTAAATTAATCAAAAATTCTAAAATTGTGAGATCCCAAATGAAGCCGTAGAGCGAGTCGGACGCGTCGTTGGTCGTTTTTTCAATTGCCATCCCAAATGCTACAGAGTAGTCAACTTCCGGTGAGAGGAATTGACTAAGTACGACGGCCTGAGAAATCAAAAATTTACTCATTTGTTCGTCTTAAAGAATATATATTGTTAAAGTAAACTTCTCACCTGAGTAAAACATCCCAACATTTCGCAACATTTAATCATCCGCTTGAACAATTTAGAGTCCTCCCAGTGGGGAGCGTTAGATCCTGGACAAATAGACGTGGTTATGTCGTAGAGTTACAGAGTCAACAGAGATAATTTGTTTCGCAAGAAATTTACTTACTTTCGAAAAAGTCGGTACACATTGCCAAGTATTCAATATAACACTTCATGGCAAGTGAAGGAGATCCCGACGCGAGATGAACATCGCCCAGACATCGCAGCCAAATAAACATTTCTCCGCCCCTCGTAATTTTGGTGGCTCGCTCCAAAAGACTGAACAGAAAGTCGCGAATGTGTTTACTGTTTAGTTTTGAACTTCCAGAAACTCTATTATTCTTTAGTTCCACAATCACCGACGTAGACGACGTCACGCTACAAGAAGAAAAGTAAAACTCAATTAATAATTTTCCCATCAACCAATAAATAAGAAATTAAGTTCTACGCACTCATCCAAAATGTTTGGCCAAATGTGGAGAAAGTCGGCATGAATTTGAACTCCGACATCGTCTAGGATGTGATTATGCAACTTGGCCAGGAGTGACACCCATACGGAGAGGAGCGGTTGAGAACAAGAGCGATCGATAACCCAAGACAATGAGCTACGTGAGGAGAGCATGGACGGTTTGCTGGAAATGTTAAGAATCTGCTTCTTGGAGTTCATTCCAGTGCCAGAAGACCCAGAATTGTTGGAGAAGATTGGAAGAACTAGGAATGACAATTAAAGAGAAATATAAAAACAATGTATGAAATTATAATCCTGATAATTAAAAACCATACTTACCTGCACTCCATAATTCTCGATAACTCGACGATGACTCTTTTCTCTCCATGAACAAATCGTGACAGACGCGTGCCAATAAGGCAATAAACTCCACAAAGGGCCAACTGCAACAATATGATAATTATAGTCACTACCATTACACAAAACAAGCCGCATGTTTGTATCTCACCGTTGATTCTGTGTCTTATCAAAATTAGCGACGTAACTATATTCCCCAAGATTGATGAACGCAACAAGGATATTTTCCACAATTTCGGACCGTGGATTAACTTCCGTCTTTGGATCTTGGAGCCGTTCCAGGCATCCTCTACACCTACTCTTTAAATCCATTATATCATCCTTATCAATTCCGTCAGGATACTCTGAAACAAACTGGGTGATATCCAGCAACAAGATCTCCCAGTCCATCATGATGATTAGTTTATCCAGATTTAAAACGTAAGAGTTAATTTGTCCTCCAGCAGAGTAGGCTTGTTGGAATTTTTGTTGCAGTTTGGACTTTGCGGTGAGGAGCATCATTTTCGCATCGTCATATTCCTATATAAATCAAACGAAAAGGTCATTAACATGTTTGCTATTATTCCAAAAAATGAGAGGTGCTTTTTAACTACACACCTTGCAGTTTAACAATTGTCTCGACTTTGCTACAAAAATGTAAATCTGCTCCTGAAAGGCTAATCCTCCTCCTGTTAAATTTTTGACAGCATGTTGAACTGGAATGGGAAGTTCCCAACCATTGAACAGGGTGGAGAGAGAGCGAGGGGTTAAGCCCTGATGAGTGGCAGCTCCGAGCAATTTTGCAATACAATCTTCAATCTCCTTCGCATTGGTAGACTCGATCAGACGTTTTTCCAAAGTGAACAGGGAAAGTTTGTCGTCCCCTATTAAAAATTACTTGACACTTGAATACATATTTCATGGTAACATTATTTATTAGTTAATTAATGGTTACTGAATGACTGACCTGGAATAATAAAGGCACCCTCTTCAGTGTCCCTTTGATCTGGGTTGAGTCGATCTTGACCTCTAGACGATGCTGGAGGAGGGTCCAACTTGACATTTAACAGTTTCTTTAACTTTGGATTCAGTCCTTTCCTCAATGACAGGGCTGACTCTAACAGCTTGCCATGCTCAAGTGATCTCGGGGTTACTTTCTATCTTCCAATTCCTGATCAAACGTAGTGAGGAGGCCGACTAAAATTTATTACAAATTTAGATAATGACAAATGTTTCTTTTGTATTAATAAATCAACTATTCCTCACCTGAGCGCAGATATCCATCCATCTTCCGCTTACTGATTTTCAAAAATGGGAAATTTTTTAACGGCATTTGTTGTTTTTGAAAGTGCAGCAAAGCTTCTGCAGTGTTCCCTTTATGCAGGAGAAATACGCCGAGGTCGAGGTGAATCATGGGCTCGAAAGAGGACTTTGCAACTTCAGTACCCACATGCCAAGAGGGAGGTGTCTGATCGACGGCGAATGTCTCCGTGCTTGGGATGATGATTTTGGTGGCGGAAGCTAGCTTTGGGTTAGAAGAAGAAAGGCAGGATCCCAAATATGTGACAGATTCCTGAACGTTTAAATCTTTCGTTTTCCAACGCTATAATTTGCTCAGCTTGCTGCTGTCCAAATCTATTAAAAAATATCGTCGTATTGTCCGTTATGTAGAAAATATTTCAATTGAATTGAGTGAGAGACCAGCAGGAGGAGGAGGAGGAGGCCCATTGTAGCGAAACGAACCACGCCACGCCAGATAAGGCACGACGACGACATTCATCATTAGGACGACTGCAAAAGGCAAATGGAAAAATGAAACTAGAAACTGCTACGCACATTTAAAACGACATTTTTTTTCTACTCCAGTTCAAACTCTCTTTTTATATACCGCATAGAAATACTGGCAGTATGTATGTACATAGGGCATCATAGCTTTACTACGTAGTATCCTCGTGAATATTTTAAGTAGATGACAATGCAGAGAATAACCGTGTAGCGATGGTGGGTCCCCAATAATTCTTCGCTCATTGGATTTACATAACTATGTACATTAATCTTATTTTTATCTGGGTGGATGAGTGGGCTTGGCGGACAAAAAAGGAGAGAGAAAAAAGCCAAGCATTGTGCTTTTTTCTCCCCCTCTGCATTTCTCCACTCAAAAACACTCTCATTATGAATACCCGAGGAGGTAAAAAAGGCGTCCATAGTCAGTCATCATGTTAAGTTATGCGGGAGAAAGCAGAAGACGTCGTATCGTTTATAAAAAAAACGGGCATTATAATAAGACAAGGATCACTTCCGTGTGAGGATGAATGTGAGGATGAGGACAAAGGGGGTTCGGTGAGTGGTTCGCAATAAATTGTGCCGCTTCCCTCCCTGTCATTGTCACCATCAGTCACCGCCACCATTTCGTCATAAACACTGCTGACGGAGCCACTTTAAGTTACGCCTTTGAACCGGGTCACCGTTTCCGAGACAGGGTGTCAATCAGGAAACGGGCCTATTCTCCTCTGTAACTTTGCATATGTCAACTCGTATTCTATATTTTTCTATTTGTGACATAGATATTATGAAGTCGTGTAAAGAGTGTGGTGGTGGGGGATATAGAGAGTAAATAACTCGTCGAACATGCCACTTTAAAGGTAGCTTTCATCCCACTCCCAGACTGGGCAAAATTGTGCAACGGCATACAACGTAACCCGAGCTGATCCTCTCTTTCGACATAACCTCGAGCAAACAAGGCGATGGGTTGTTGCATAATAAGTATTATAAAAGTATGGGGGACGTGGAGGAGAAATAGGTAAATATCATGGTCGTATTTTCCACAAAGTTGGATAGGCATAATATCAAAAACACTCATTTTAGCATCCGTCTTCCTCAAATAGAGAAACATCATGAGAAGAGCGCCGAGCTGAAACATTAACATCGTTTGACGACCACAATTTCATCTTGGCAAGAAGTAAGTGAACTAGGAGGAGAACGGTTTTAAGCGTCCATTTCCAACAGGCTGACAATTTAGGTGGTTGTAGAATGGAGAAAGCGTCTCTAAAATTGAATGGAAAAGAGGTGGCATGTAGGCCATATCCATTACTCCAATAACATAAAAAGCTGTCCTTTTTCCCTATTTCTCATCCATCCAAGACTGTGTGTATGAATGCGTATATATTTACTAGTTCTTCTACATATAGGGACGACGATGATGATGACTTTGTATTTCCACTCGAATTATTCTCGGAGAATGAAGGAGCTATTTTTACAGATATTGAGCATTCTATTCTCTCCTCGTCTACATAATTAAAATGTCCAAGTTATGTAGGGGGACGACTCGTACTCTTTATCTCTCTCTTTCCGTTGTTTCCTCTATATTTAGCTGACTTTCGTTGTATGCTACAACTACTTGGAGTTAAGTAAGTAAAGCAAGAAAGTCCACACTCATCCGCTTTGGAGAATTGAACATGTTTTTCATTCTTGACTTGAATAGCGAAAGAGTGGTTTAGTAACTGGTCTTATTTGTGGTCTGGTCCTACCGATATCATCGGGGTCGTCGTTGTCGTCGTCGTCGTTCTCGTACAGAGGTGGTTTTAAAAGTACGAGGTGCATCAATAGTAGTAGTAGTAGTAGTGGTGGTATAGTAGCAGTATGTAGGGATGGATGGCTGTCAACTTGTCCACGAATGATAAATTAAAGAGAGTGGTTGGCCGTGGAGAGGTGTGTTTAGTGGGGAGTTGTCTGCTGGAGACAGGCTCTACTCACGCATACCACACATGGGACCGTGCAGGGTGCACAGGCGTCACGCCACGGAATACCATGGACCTTGTCCATCAAAGAAGGCAACAGACCGACTGAATTCTCCCCTCAGACAGGAAGAAGAGAGAAAGTCGGCTGATGGACTTATTGAAAAGCTGCTGTGCATAGAGAGAGACTCACTTTTGTTGTACTGCTTTTCTATGGAGTGAGTGTTAGTTGGCCGGATGAGTCTTCTAATTCGGCACACGGCGCATGAAATTATCCCTCACACACACTCACTCAAAGTAACCACACCACAAACTCGCCAATGTCACAATACTTGCATGGATAGAAGGGGGTCAGCCTAACCTATATGCATATACTGAGGAAGTAACCCCATTCCAATAAAGAACACGAGTGAGTTCCTCATACAGAGAAGCAGTCACCTTTATCCTAGTCATCATCATCATCATTCTCAAAAAGATGGGGAAAAGAGAGAGAGAGAAAGCTGAGAGAAGATTGAGTCTGGGATGAGAAGCGAGGGTCTCCAAAATCAGGAGACTTTTCCTACTTTCTCACACAATTTGCTGCGACAAAGTGATGAATTTCGGGCGAAGTGATTTTATTTGGTGACTGCTGCGGGTAGTGGATGGATGCGAGCGAATGTCAATAAATGAGGGGGACAATTTCTTTTCGTTTCCGACCGAGTTGCGAATATTGGGAGGATTTGGGGAAGAAAACAAGTAGTGTGCAGAAGAAAATTTCTCATTTGCTTCAGGCACCCGTTTTTCCAGTCGTTGCATCCATTTGTTCTCGTGACTCGGCTGCTCTCTCTCTCTCTTAACTCTTATTATCCTTGTGTTTGCCTGCATGGCTTGAACCACCACCACCCCGTGGAGTAAAATGAACACTTTCTTTCTCCTCCTCCTCCTCCTCCTCTTGTGAAGAAACAATGAGGACAACTGGAACTGGCAAGTGAGCAGGCTTTGCATTATTTAAGCCACCCACTCTACACACAGAGCTTCGCATTAGGTTAACAACGTGTGGCGGTTCTCGACAGACTTGCTGTTGAAGCTCAATCCAGAACACACTTCTAGACGAATGGAGAACGCAGAAAAAGAGAGAAAGCTATATGGACATGCATACTTTATCCCGTTAGAAGCAATGATGCTCAACTATGTGGCACAGCAACTATGTACACACTTCTATCCTGGCTGAGGAGCTCATTGAGATTTGCTCCTCCGACTTTCCACCTTGGTAAACTTTGGATGCTCTCACAACATGGAGCATCCAACAGGGGAGACGACTTGTCTGTGCAACAAGAGCTCGCATTAAACTGCTTAAACTAATAACAAGAATACGGGATAATTTGTTCACTCTCGCTCCTGGAGGAAGTTTGTAATAAAAGTAGACAAGGTTTGAGCTGGTAAGGACATACTGGCCAGATTTCGTCGTCATTTGCTATTTCCGCGAGAGAATGAGAGTGAGATGGGAATGAAGCCAAGCGAAGAGTCGACTAGGAAGGAAACGACGACATGGTCTTGTTGACTGGCTGCCCGAGGACAAGAGAGTTATCTCTCGCTGAGATTTGAAAAATCCGAAAAGAGCGAGGACAGTCTTCAAGTGTGAGGAGGACGGGACTAGGAGATAAGGAAAGTAGGAGAGAGGAAGGAGCTCTCTCGATTTCGGACACAAATTAGGACCTTGGCTACTGCCCCCTGGAAGAAGAAGACATGCGGTTACTTTACCTGGCTGGCTTTATTAGCCCATTCCTCCTCCTCCTCTCTCTCTCTCTCCACACTTATCACGTCCAGGAGAGATTGCAATGATTTGAAGCCATTGTGCGTCCTCCTCCACGAGGAGAGAATCTCTCAGCACAAAGAAAACCAACTTATAGCCAACTTTCACCTTTGTGCCCGGCCCTTTGTATGTGCGACTCACTCAAGGAATTGAATTCCGACTTAAATATATTTGGGATAGAAGGATTAACCTGGCCATAATAATTTTCACATTTGTAAGCATCTATAAATATATAACTTAAATATATAAAAGTTGACAACACTCACCGTCAAATTACCCAAATGAAAGGATGGCATATTGCTTGATGCATTGTAGCGCATTTCAGAGGAGTCGCTTTCAAAAACTTCTAAAACAAAATGTTGCGGAAGACCTGTTGGACAGAGAGGGGCAAATTTATACTTTCACTACTTATCTGATTTAAATATTCCGTGTATTAACACAATTACCTCCATCATGGCCCTCATCACAGCTTAATTTAGCAGATTAATAAAAATAATTATTTATCTTGGTATTTGCTTCGTTTGAATGCTTATGTCCTTACTCATTTATTTTAATTAAGTAATGGTGAAACTTCAACTTATGTATTACCTCAATTCCACTGATTCAGTTGTCTCGTTAAATACTGTTGGCGAATGAAATTTTTTTTGTTAGCATTGTCATGATGTTGCAACTGTACATGTCTATCCCATGCAATTAAAGTGTATGTAATTTCAAAATTGTACTTACCTGTACAATTGGTGACTGGGGATGGTCTCTCTGAAAACATGACAGAATGTCACTTGTTATTTATTGTGGGACAAGTTTGATCTACTTTACAACTTTCCATTTTATTGAACAATAGGTGTAAAGTTGAGGACTACAGCGATATATTTGAACAGCTACGGCTACTATCAAATTTGACCAGTCCTATTCGTTACACTATCATCGTGGTTGGTGTAAAGTTACTCAGACAGTTAGAAGGTTTTCTGTCATCTCTTTGCACGAGTATTGGATTTCATTGGAGGCGAGATAACTTTCGCTGATTACTTTGCTATAAAGCATTTGAAGCATACATACATACTTATATACATATGTACATATATGATTTTACCTCTCGTGTGTACGTAGTTAGAGTAGTGTTTAGAAATAGCAAATCGATACTTTGTGAAGCAGAGAATTAGCTTCCTGTTCCAGTTGTAAAACAACAGAATCCCAACAAAATTTAACAACCAATAAAAAGCTCCCATCAATTAATTTTTATTCGCACCAAACTAATTTATGTTCTCATCACATGGTGTCCACCTTGTCAACAAGGCTACAACTCTAATTTGTTTTATGAGTCAGAGTCCAGGCGATATCTTTTTAACAACTTGTACACTTCCCAGCAGCAGCCCCATTGCTAAAGACATTGATCAATGTTCATCAGGTCAGTTGATTTTATTTTCACAATAAACCAACCACCAAGGGGGGTTGACACCATGGTTGGTGGCTAAGTATATACGACAGGAAGTATTCCAACCCTAAATATTCCTAGTTCTTTGCCAAACTCTCATAGCTCAACACGGTGTTCTTCAGGAAGGAAAGAAAGGAAAGCGATATGGACCCGTGTGTATGTAAATGAAACGTTTGACTTGTTCTAAGCTGCTGTTCCTTCATATAAAATCTGGAAATGGTGAGATTAATTTTTTGTGAAATGAATACCACATAACCCATGCATTTGAGTGGAGTAAGCATTACACGCATGAAATATTGCGGTCTAGGAGGCAAATGTTATTACTTCCGTTTCGCGTTCTTTTTTTCTATTTTCACTTTCTAGTTTTTATTCAACGTTCAACTTTTCCCCTCTATTGCTCATTAGCTTCAGTCGTAAATTTAAGGGGATATGGAGCTGAATTATTTCATTCGTACGTGTAGCATTTTGAGCGAGAAGAGTGGATTAAATATCTGCAGAAATATATAATCTCTATGCGCAAACGAGATTTATCGAATTTTTAATTTTATGAACATAGTGTAGCATTGAAAAATTGGATTTAATCCTATGTGAATTCATGTAACTATTTTCACTAATTAATAAAAAAAAATAAACTAGTAATCAATGTGATCGTCGTAGAAATTGCTCTGAAAAGTATGCAAGTGGGTGAAAGTAGAGAGTTTGTGGGAGAAAGCATTTTTTCCCTTTGACGCCCTCTGTCTAGTAAAAGTAGAGAAAGACTCACCAGCCGCTACGATTTGGAAGACGCACGGAGCCATCTGGATGCCTTGAAAGTTAAACAAAAATGGTTTTAGTTTCTCCAAATATTCTGGTTATGATTTGCATTGAATCAATGATATCTCAATCTGAAATTGTGCTAAGACTTGGTTGCGTTCAAATTTACTTGAAGTGGCAAACAGAGGCCGTTTTTATACGAATTTGGCAAAATTGTACAGAACGACGAGGATTTTGACAAATGTCATGATAATTATTGAATAGTGTGTACTCTGTATTCGCTACTTATACTTTGTAATACCTGGGGTACATACCACAAACCTAATGAGTTGTTGGATCGTATCGTGCGAAGATTTCCAGAACTTATGATTCTAGAGGTATGTGGTAATTCGTTGTCAAGAGATAATTCTAGTGTTGAATCTATGTAACATATATATTTAGATTTCTGGGACGAATTTGGCCGGTGATGGGGTCGCCCAGCAGGTGCATGGAAAAGGTATTGCAGAGTGGGAAGATGGTGGTGACGCTGTAGCAGAAACTGTTGAGAAATGCTGTGATATTCCTGGACTTAATTCCAGGTAGGTGATTAGTGAAGAGGATAATATATATATTTAAATTTTACATATTATTATTCTTATTTCTTGTGTTGTTCAGGTCCCTACGTCCTTTGGAGTACCTTGGTCTTTACGGATCTGCTCATGATGCCTCTCGTCGGCATTGCATCCGCTAAGGTGATCGGTGGAGATAAGGATGAGCTACAGATCATCAGTGCTGCCAGAGTATTTATTGACCGACAGGAAGTGTTGGAACGAATTTTGAATGATCTTTTCCATCTTTTCCGTACCGAGGAGGGAAAATATGTTTCGCACTGTCTTCGTCTCATCCTTTGTGCTATGGAGGTTTGCAAACTAACCACTAATAATTTTAATGCACTCTGAATAACCATTCAACTAATTGTTTTTATGCAGAGACACCCAACCGAGAAACATATCCAAATAAGTGGGAGTGCTTCATTATTCTATATCGTGAAAAACAATCAAAGTCTGGGCCTCAACAGCCCAGTCCATGCTCTCAAGAGAAGGATTTTAGATGTCATTGGTCAGTCAATTTTCAGGAGTTTAAGTTTGAAAATTATCATCAAAATTAAAATGTATGTATTACTGATTGATTTCAGTAAGGGCGATGGAACTTCACGTCTCAGACTCTACTATGATGCGGAATGGCTGCTTAACAATTTGTCATTTTAAAATTCCACATGACGTGGTAAGTACATTAAAAGTAAAACTTATAAAAATTTCCCAATACCCACTCACTTGTATTACTTTGTTTTGTTAGATGTTTGTCTATGAGAAATTGGTTAAAGTTTTGCTTGAAACTTTGGGTGTGCTAGTCAGCCCACCCCCAAACAATGAAGACTTTAATGAACGCATTGCCATATATCTCCTCAACTCATTGGCATGTCAAGTTGAAGGGGAACACAAACGACTTGTTGGAAATTTGGGTGCTATTCACGTAATGCAAATAAAAAACCAATTAAACATGTACTATGATATACAGTTATTTCAATTCTTTTACACTTGTTTATTTTTCCTCATATAGAAGATGCTAGGCCTGATACAAAACCGACTTGGTCGTGCCGAATGCGACGATGTAATGGAGATTGCTTGGTCAACAATGTGGAATGTGACTGATGAAACGCCAGAAAATTGCTCCAAATTCCTTGAACATAACGGAATGGCCCTGTTTCTCCAATGTCTTAATGCCTTCCCAGATCAGCCAGAACTCTTACGAAATATGATGGGTTGGATTAATAAATAATTAATTAATTTTCATAATCGCTAATTAATCTCATTTGATTATGTTGCCCAGGCCTTCTTGGAAATGTCGCTGAGGTGCCAGCACTTCGGAGCCACCTCATGACAACAGCTTTTATCAAAGTCTTTTACGAGCTCCTCAATTCGAGACAGGATAACATCGAAGTTTCCTACAATTCGGCAGGGGTGCTCGCTCATATCCTAAGCGATGGGGAGGAGGCTTGGGCTGTCCGGGGTTCAGTCTGCGAGTCTAGCTTCCGAATAAAAGATCTTGTTCTTTCCTCTCAATCCGTTGTCCACATCACTTTATTTAGCAGCCCAGAAACTGCTTAGCCACTTTGGCAAGTGACAATTATAGTCCCTCAAACCTCCGTTTTGCTTATTGATTAATGTGGCAAATATGTGGCATGTGGCAAATAAAATTTATAAATGTAACCCGTTGCTTAAAACACATTGGGGGTTTCACGTCGCAAGATTAACATGTGTGAATTTGTTTTATGAAGGTTCTCTCTTTATTTTCGACGGAGGCGTGATAATCCGCATTATAACAAATTTTTATTTACGATTCTGACATTGAAAATACTGATTTTAATTTTTTTGAATAATTAAACTTGACCATGCATCTTAACACAGAATCATTAACAGGGTGTACTACTTATAATTTCCAAAATGCATGCTGGTCCATCTTAAATAATTTTTTTGCTTACATAATAAATATTTAATAGAATTGTGACTGCATGAAAACTGTCTCGATGCATCAGAGTTGTAAATAATTTCTTTGTCTACTTGTATCACTTTCTCCAGGGTATGCATTTGGTAACTTTGGAATTAAATATAGGATTAGTTAATTCCCTCTAATCCGGAATTAACGTTTAATCTAAAACGTATTTTGTAACTTTTTGTGATTAGGATTAGGGTGGATTAAATTTAATCCAGGTAATAAGAATTTTAGCCAGTCAAAAAGAGACTAAATTCTGCTCTGGTTGGAGCGATGACCAAATCTCTCTCTTCGCCAGTCAAAAAAACAATAACAATTCGTTTGTACAATTAAAAGTAAAAAAAGTCTCCGTCTAACGTCTACAATTATTTCCACACATCGACAGATAATGGACACAGAAAGAGATGATAGCGACTCTGTCGTCAACATGGTAGGTCATATTTTAAATATTGGCAGAGCTGTCATACGGAAGCAGAGTTATCATACCAAATTTACGAATAATAAATATTTACAGGAGGACGTTTTAAATTGGACTGCCAGGATGACGGTGGAAGATAATGGGTGCAGTGAACGTGTTGGGATCATCAAGTCCATATTGTACCATATGACCAGTGCGGAGCTGAAGCTTATTCCAAGCATTCTCAGTCACGCCAAGGGCAGGATGACAAAACTTGAAACAAAATGGAGGGAGGTCAGGTCGGGCGAATTAGGAATGGATATGGTAGCTCCAGCACCGGCTGAGATAGCCCTGTCCATTCCTGAAAAATCTATCGTCCCTTATCCAACGCCTTTTGAATTTCGAGAAATGATAAAATGTAAGATCAAAAAGTTGACAAAATGTATGATCAGAAAACCCAAAAATTATTTGTGGTGCTTAATCCGTTTTTACTATTAATAGTTCAAGGTTGGTGGAAGAAATTTAAAAAGGAAGACTTCCTGGGATTCGACGTCGAGTTTGTCGAGATACTTGGAAACATTGCACATGACGTACACAAGGCTGGAATCGTAGGAGTGTGGAAAAATGAGCAGGTCTATCTTCATCAACAAGTTAAGTGGGACCGTACGAAAGTCAAGATTACACCGTTCAGCATCAAGTTAAATGGCATAACATACGACTCTTTAAATACTGGACTAGACTTTACTGAAATGAAATCCAAAATCTCCAACTTATTCAACAAAAAAATCATTCTCACGGTGGGAGGAAATAAAGATTTTCGTTCGTTAGACCTGGACGCCAATGAGTTCAACACGTTTGACCTACAAAGCTTCTACAACAGAACCGACCCAAACAATCCGGCACAGCAGCAGGGAATGTCACTTCGTGATATTATGTTTTATCACTTCAAATCTGATTGTCAGAAGGGGGTGCATAGTGCTCTTCAAGATGCTAGGAATACTCATACTTGTTTCTTTGGTGGCTATGTCCAGGACAAAAGATTTTGGAATAATGATGGCTTGAAGGACATTTGTTTTAACGATGTTGTGAATTTGAATAGTTAAAAACACCGTAAACTTTTATACTGTCCAACAATCAAATTGTTTGCTAAATCGTGTAGTTGCAGTTCATGCAAATCAGTTAGTGCACACCAACAATGTGAGAATGTTAATTTATTTGAATAAACTCAATTTATTTCAGTTATATTCTACATGTTACACAATTTATCATACTAAAAGCAGAGTTATCATACAAATAGAAGAGTTATCATACAAATAGCAGAGTTATCATACAAAAGGCAGAGTCATCATACAAATAGCAGAGTTATCATACAATAGGCAGGGTTATCATACAAAAGGCAGAGTTATCATACAAAAGGCAAAGTCATCATAATGCTACAAATAGTAAGACACTTGCAATCATACAAAACTTAATCCTGCTCGCCATAGGGTTGCTTTAACGATAGTTTAGCCCTCTCAATTATATTCCTCTTTCATTAAGTCTCTAATTTCTTTGAAAACTGATAGCTGCTCTTTTGTTGTCTCTACTTGTTCGCGCATTAGTCTCTCTGTTGGAGTTTCTCGAAAGATGGACCTCTTCCTCACTCCATCCGTTGACTTTGCAGCTGAACTTGACGACCGATTCAAATTGGGCTCAGCTAAAGGAAAATAATAGTAGACAGATAATGAAATGAATTCTAGTCGAAAAGTATGAATTGTAAATTACCTGTATGCAATGTCTGAGATGTACTTGCAATGGGTACATACACATTCATACTGGAACAATTTCCAAGTAGATCTTCTCTTGGTTCCTTTGTTACTGGTACTTTCTTTAAACCGTCGGATGAATTAGTTCCTGAAATCCAATTAAAATGGGTAAGTATATGGTAACTCTACTCCTGTATGACAGCCCTGACTAACCCAAATCATCGAAAACATCGATGCCTCCAGGAACTCCAATCATATCCACGCTTCGGACAATAGCCAGTATTGTGTCCTCCGCCGATGACAGCTGCTCTTCCGAATCCCCACCACCAGTTTTTCCAGCCGATTGTTTATTGCTCATTGCTTTAGTTTTAGCTGACATCTTCAAGTTTTTGCTCTTTATTTTGACTTCTTCGATAGTACGTCCGTGCCCCCCGACATTGTTAATTTCCGCTGTAATAGTTTTCCATATGTCAGTTTTCAAATGATTAGTGATAGTAGTGGAGTGGGAAGCACTTAATACTCCTTGATGTTGTACTAGACTTGTTGCCAATTGTTGTTCTTCATCTTTTGTCCAATTAGCACTTCGTTTCCTCTTCACGGCCTGTATTCAAGCGACCATAAATTATGTAGAGCTATCATACAAAATGTAGAGTTATCATACAAAATAAGTTTAAAACGTACCACGGCCATTTTAGAAGTGATCTGCGACAACCTGATTGCGCCTTGCTACTCCTGTGATATTATTATCGTTATTTGGGTGACCTTGTAACAAAAGTTCAGCTGGAAGTACTTGATCGTGCATAAACTGATCGTCTTCAGGCAAGAGTGCTATTCCTCGTCGCTGTAAAATATTGTGCAGGACAGCACTAGCAATGATCAGCTTGTAAACTTTTTCCACAGGATAGCAGGATAATCCACCAGTCCTAAAATGTAATGATTAAGAAAAATGGCTTCCCATGATACAACATTGTAATTAATTATATCATTACTTGTGCATTGACCGAAATCTTGACTTCCAAACCCCAATGGTCCTTTCCACACTTGATCGGGTGGTTTTATGAGAGATATTATAACTTTGCTGACCAGCAGTAATTGGCTCTCGAAATGGGGTCATCAACCAAGGCTCCGCTGGATAACCGCTGTCACTTGCAAGCAAGTGATAACTCTGCTTAGCATGACAACTCCTTGCTTGCAGCCAATAATAACAATATATTAGCGATAATAATAAATTACCAAGAAACCACCCGCTGCCAATTTCACCGTTTCTTAATCTTCTTTTTACGCTGCTTTCCCTCCAAATCAACGAGTCGTGAGAACTCCCGGGCCACTTGGCACACACGTCGAGGAAAAGACACTTTGCATTCGTCACAACTTGGCAATTGATGGAATGATAATTTTTTCTATTTATGTATCGGTCTTCGTCTCGTGGAGGGGCGAGTATACCAACGTGTGTCCCGTCTACAAGCCCGAGTATGTTAGGAAAAGGATGATTGTAACACAATGATGCAAATTCTTGTTTGGATTGATTGATCAAAGGAGATTTAAATTCTACTACCACGTGGGCCTTCCATCCGAGGAGGATAGAAAGGAAATCTTGATTGCTGTATTAGGAGAATCGTTAAGTGAAAATATTAGCGAAAAAGCATGGAAAACTCTGCTACTGAGCACAACAGTGTATGTGATATAAGTATTTAAACAAAAACGAGTACTCAGTGTACTCACGTCTTATTTATAGTTTCAGCAGTGCGGATTTGGCCAACATCAGGATTATTCTACAAGATTTGCCATTGAGAAAGGCATTTGCATCTAAATACTTTCGACGCTACAACGGGGAAGACCCAAACAACCAACAGATAATTGTTACTGGGTGGATTCCATGTGATGAACACCACCCATGGGCAAAAAGAATGAATTTGCAAGAAATACCCTGCGACCGACTAATTCTCCCTCGACTGACGGAGGTTACATAAATCTTTCAACAATTGCTTAGGAAAAATATAATTTGCTAAATTACTTTCTCAACAGCAAGACGTGATAATGGCAACAGCGGCTGTTCCAGCCAGCCTGAACTGTGACGATCCCCTTGGCGACGTTCAAGAGAATGAGCGATTCGCCAAAGAATATGCTTTCTCCTGTGACATGGATCTATTAAATGTTGACTTCAGCATTGACTCCGCATTAGAAGATGCGGAAAATAAATCTAAAATGCACCAGCTAGGCCCGCACACCGTTAAACCATTTGTTGTATGGGACAATGGACGATTTAAGTCGTCCACTGATCCACACAGTTTTGTGGATCCGTACAAACAAGAACTTAGTGTGGAGTCCAATGCAGCAGTAAAGCAAGCTGCTTGCAAGGAATATCTTGAATATTCCGGCAGTATAGGTACATTTTATAGGAAGAAAACTTTCGGGGAAAAAATTTCCAAGTTTTTTAAAAACAAATATTGAATTTTGCAACTTTTTAACCTGCGCAAACTGTGTGCATATATGCTAATATTATTTTTTGCGAATAATGAATAAAATTTTGTTTTAATTTTCAATGACTAGGGCAGCTAAACAGATTTGTGTGACTTTATTGAGTTTTTAAAGTCATATTCAACATAATTTGTCATTTTTTGCATTTTTTGCATTTTTATGCACTTTTATGCATTTTTATGCACTTTTATGCATTTCTTGGACTATGTATGCACAAAAATAATATTATGCGCCTAAAAATAAACACTTTTATGAACCTAAGGATTTTTAACATTGCATAGTACGGCAGAACACTGCGCCCTTCGGGCGCAGAACACTTCGAAAAATTTGTAACCTTTCGCAGCGTTGGAGTACAAGCCATAATCCACCTGTTAGCACTATTTTCTGCTAGTGGGGCCCAGTGTTGCAAGTGGTATAAACCACTTTTTACCGGACAGTGGGAAAAAGGCACTTTTTCCCACCCACCAAAAACCAGTGGGAAATGGGAAAAAGTGGGAAAAAGGTAGTTCTTATGCACTCTACACTAGATGGCGCCCATATATACCGATAGGTGGCGTTCCATTTTTCCCACTTCCCAGTGGGAAAAAGTGGGTGGGAAAAAGTGGGAAAAAGACACTTTTTCCCACTGTCCTGGGAAAAATTGTTTTGGACGGGAAATATGCAACACTGGTGGGGCCCATACTTTAAATATCGTCGGAAATAACGCTGCGTCCAAAATAATTGCTGCCAAGCTCATTTTGGGACAAGTTCAAAGCCTTGACACTTTCTTCTCCAGTTCCCCTGTACGATGGAACATTATGAAAAAATCTTCCAGTTTATGGTATGTATATTAAAAGAAGAGACATTTTTTCCTAAAAGGTTACGTGTCGCATACTTACAATGCTTAAAGCATTGGCAATTAAAATTTTGATAACTTTTTCAATTTTGATTGGATTTTCGAAATTAAAAATGTTTTGAAAACGTTAGACAATTTCCATCAACATATATTTTCGATTTTTTTTATTTTGACCTGGTTGATTTGAAATTAAGGTCACAAATTTAAAAAAATGTGAAAATTTCAATAATTATATAAATCATGAATTCGCCACTTAATTAAAAATTTGAAAAAATATGTTCATGTCGAGGTTCGAGAAGCCAACCAAACTGAGAAACACGGTCACATATTCCTAGGGGGCGGCCAGGGGGTGTGGTTATGGGCGCTTTTGTGGTTATCTACTCAACCCATGACGTGCGACAAATATTTTTTATCAGGGGAAACAGGCCATTATTACGGTGACCTCTAATTTTAAAAAACCACACCCCCAGGCCAAATGGGTGTGGTTATGGGCGCTTTTACAATTCCTTAACAAAACATAACATTCGACACATACTTTTTATCAGTAGAGAGAGGCCATCATTATCGTAACCAACAATTTTGAAAAACCACACCCCCAGGCCAACTGGGTGTGGTTATGGGCGCTTTTGCAGTTTCTTAACAAAACATGACATGTGACACATATTTTTTATCAGGGGAAAGAGTTCATCATCACAGTGACCGCTAATTTTAAAAAACCACACCCACTGACAAATTGGCTGTGGTTATGTGCGCCTATAGGCGATTTTTAGTACTTAAATAAAACCTACCAGTGTTTTTCATCATTGAAAAACCAGCTATTTTCTTGGATGGTAATGTCAAATGGCAAACACTTAAGTAAGAAGTAGTGTTAGTTCTTTGGACTTTGGACTGTATGTGAAAATTTCAATATTTAAATTTGATTTGAAATGAAAAACATATTTTCATATAGTGATGAATAAATCATAAACGACAACTTGGAGGTAACGCATAACGCATGGTCATTTTGTTATGTCGTCATGCAATTGGCGTATTTAAATATTATGCAATTTTTTTGTCATTTTATCTAGGGCATAAATAAGTACATAAAATTATTTAAATATTTTGACTGATTTATGTGTTATGAAGGATTGAGCTGATGTTCAGATAGAGTTTTTCAATCCAACTTGTCACTTACATTTATTCTCCATATATGTATCTTTAGCAATTTATTTTGTCCAAATTAACTAATATATTTAACCAGCTTTGTCTGTGTGTCTGTCTATCGGAGGGTAACGTATACGGTATGTGGCATACCTCCAATGCTTTATTTTGCACTGAAGGGATGTGAAAGTAGAGCACCCACATACCAAGGGATTCCCAGTCGGCGACCATAATGTCGGCGGTAGCCGTTCACCACGTGTATACATAATTTTACAATCAAGTGGATCTTACTTCATGCGATGGCCAAGAGTGACACTCCAATTGTACGTCGCTATCAGGTTCCGTCTCGTATATGCGGCCAGGGTGTATGCAGCACTCGCTAGGCAATGAAGACCTCCCTGTGAGGAGGATGCGAACGCGTACCCAAAGGGCCCGCATTCCTGTTCGTCTGAATGGGGCTGCTTTACGTACATGCTGGTTGGTTTAGAAAACTTTCGTTAGAAAAGGATAGCGGGAATATAAAATTATATATTTCACAAACGCAAGGGCACCTCACTGACGGGGTCAGACCGCGTGGTGCAACGGGCACTAGAAATAGCCTAGTTTTTTATATTCAGATATTTAAGTATTTCACAAGATAATCCTGAAGTCAGCACAGTGATACATAAGCGTCAGTCCAACCTACGCGAAGCAAATAATATCCAAAATTATGTACATATTTATCTTTTATAACTGTGGAGTTTGTAAGTAATAACAATTATTATTTTTGATTAGAGACGCTGTTGAGTTGTATGGTTTGCATTCCTCTTTATATGATGAGACTTTTGAGCCCGAGAAAAACAGGATGCGTTTATCAGCCAGTATCTAATCTTAGGTTACAATGTCATGCGATATCTGAAAATATTTATGCATTGACGAGGCACAAAAGTCATCAGAACTCGCTACTATTCGTACTTCAGAAGACTCTTTGACGATGTCCAGGTAATTTATTTTACATCTAACACCTGAGTACGCAAGCAAATATAAAACTTGCTATCCTGGTTTGCTAGCCTACAAAGTAGTAGCGGTAGCTGTAGCAGCGGTTCATCGGCATCAGGAGGGAGTGATTGGACAAGCAGTTTGTACTTCACCGCTAACGCCAAAACTCCTGGCATTTATCCTGCCAAAATATCAGACGAAGAATTGATGGATTACTTCAAAAAGGTTGAGGGAACTGAAGATCAAATAATTCGGGTTTGGATTTTCAAACAAAATCTCTCAGCCTGGCTTCCGAAGGTGTTTGGTGCTTGGCATGAATTCACCGTTGTGGAATCGACTAATTATTTCTGGTCGTTCGAGAAAGATTCGAAAGGTATTTGTGTCCAGCGGGCGAAGACCAGAGTACATGTTAAGGATTGGTATCGTGGGGTGGAACGAACCGGATCGGTGACGCCCGAAGGGAGGGATCCGCAGAAGGGTAGGGAAGGAGATACGGTCAATGACATTATATGGTGGATATACAAGGAAAATTATTTAAAGAGAGGATATCACGCTACCAAATCGAATTGCCACTATTTCGCGTCATTGATATTCGAAGCAATTGCACGTCAAAAGGGTAGGCGACTTTAACTATCGGGGAGTCATATCAGCAAACCGGTCCTTCTAATTTTTCAATCTGTCGGAATTGACCGGTTTTTTTTTGGGTGTGAAACATTTCTAGAATGAAAAATTAATTGAATAAAGTATCACAATAAACGTGTCATTTACTGCGCATATATTAAGAGTATGTCAAATTTGAATTCAAGCCTAAGTTTCATGAAGTCTGGCGCCTCGTACAACAGTGGTCACTTATTTAGTAATCATGGCATTATGGTTGAGGGCTTGGAAATCTTTCCATTTTCGTCAATTGTTTACCAAATCAGTAATTTGCTTTCGGGATAAACTTCTCATATTTAACATCCTCACGACTTGTGGCATAAACAAACTGGTGACTTTGAAGTCGACCACGGTTTTGGAAAAGTGCACTCGGTTTGTGTTTGTTAAATATTCCTCCACAATTCACGGTTATTCGAATAACCGTGAATTATGTATGGATAATTATGATCATAATTATCCATACCTGTCTAGCTTTCTGTATAAAATTCCTAATTCCCTTCTCATCCGGACCTTCATCGTTTTGGGTTTTGGATTTTCCCCGAAGTGATAATCTTTCGTTCCAGTCGATTCCACTATAAAATTGATATCTGACTCTTTTCTTATCAAATATTTTAGCACTGCTTCTGCCATCGGGGAGCGATCCGTATTGTCTGAAATTGAAAGGAGAGCTTAATTACTTATTAATCTAAATTAAATTAGTTCGTAACATAATAGGTTAATTTAAATAAGTATTTGCATTTTGCGTACATGTAAAATATAACTCCGTCAAAGTGTGCAAAAGCAAAAAGTGTGCAAAAAAGTTTGCCAAATACATAAATGTCTTAGCTAAACATACGAAGGGAATGGAATGCTGTGTTGAACTTGATCCATGCCTTTGCCCGTGTATTGTTTAGCCTTGCAAAAAACTTCTGTGCTCTGTTCGTGGGTTGAAAGCGAGAGTATGAATTCACTCTGATAACGGCAGGACTTGCAATTTTGTGACGTCCGGGTGCACGTACGAGAGGTTGGAATTTTTTTATGACACCGTGTTATCTACCAGTGTATTTGTGATACGTCGAATATCAGTGGCCGCGGAAGAGTGGGAACAATGTCCCCACAGAAATGTCGAAACCTCTTATCCCCTCAATTTTAAGCTGCCTCCTCCCTCCGCCTCTTATCCTAAATGTTAATATCCATACACTCTTAGAAACTGGGTGATCGCCGCTATTATTTTTACCACCATATGACTCCACCGCCTTTGGTGATAAGCGTTGTCACCATTTTGGTGATAGATTATCACCGAATTTGTGACAATCTATTACCGCGAGGTGACATGTTACCACCGCGCGGTGACAAGTTATCACCACTCCAGTAGAGTCATATATAGTCACCGCCCGGTGATAATAATTTTTACAGTGTAGAAGTCCTCCACATCATCAGCGACTGGGAAGGAATATGCAGTAAAAATTGTGAGTCGAAAGGTGGATTCGTCAAATGAAGTTGCGCTTCTCAGGTTAAATTTTATGATTTTATAGTAGAATAACTAAATTAAATAATGTATTGATAAATACAATATAGTTAAATATAGTTAAATGATATATTGATAAGCAGGGCGTGGTAAAATTTCAATGAGAACTCCAAACTCTTTGAGGAAAAATCTCTGAATCAATTCACGTGAGTTTTCATCAAAATGAGAAGCCCTTGTCTCCTTGTTCAGGGAATATGGATGAAATTGGTTGAGATCCTGGTGCAAGTGATTTGGTAGACGGAATAGATAAGACAAGTACAAGCCAATATGGAGGTGTGATTCCATCTTCTTTAAATTAGCAGACCGGACACCTTTTGGGACTGAACAAAGGGGGATAATCTTCACATTTTCGTTGAATTGTTCTTTATACTTGCCGATGGTGTCATTTTGTTCATGTAAAGGTCGACCAGTAATAGTCTGTCCTCCATAAACAATTTTTGGATCAGTAGCAATATAAAGTGCACCATGAGTTTGACTGATTAAATCTGATAATTTTTCTCCTGGTTCTGCTCGGATTCCGAAGGGAAACTCAATCTTGTCACTTTCTCCTTTGTTTCTTAAGATCATGGTGAGTCGCAACTCAAGTCCTACTCGTCTCAACTCTTCTTTTACTTCTCGTTCTAGTCCAACTGCTAATGAAATTGACGAGGAATGATAGTGCAGAAGAGGGTTTCGTAGCTTTTGAAACAAGAATGATGTTTGCCAGACCGAAAGAGTTTTTTCTACATCCTCTCGATTATCAAAAACTAATCTTCTTATTATTTCTTGACCAACTGGTCTATTGATGGCCTGGAGAGCCAGAGTTAAATGTTCTTCTTCTTCTCCATCAGCGAAAGTAAAAGACAGGATGCGATGATCCACTCAATTACACAAAATCCAGTATTGGGACCTTTGTGGGTCAAACAAGTGGGGTTGAGCTCTAGTCCCGTAATAGGACTGACATCCTAAAATGTAAAATATTTGCTACCATATTTCATTTAGTTTGGAATATTTGTCAAAAGATAACCAGAATTATTACCAGGTATAGATTGGTGAATAAGTCCATCGTTCGTTTCCTGAATTTTCATATTTTAAACTTAATTGGCCTGAAACACGAGCCACAGGTTGTCCTTTTGGAGCAGCCTCTTTCCAGACCAAATACCGAGAAGATTCTCCGACCTGTATTCCTTCTTCACCAGCTCGTTTGACCATGTCGACAACAATTTCTTCTTCGGCTATAGAAAGTACAGTATTCACTGCAGTGATCATTGGCTCTGGAGAGACCCGACCGAGGTCACGGTAAAAAGGCTCATCATCATCGGTTGGCAATTCATTTCGAGCAATTTTATAAAATGTGGACACCACGCCACAATCTATTAATCAACATTATTTGATTTTATATTTTGAGTTTACAATTGAACGTTTTATAGCATATTATTATTATAAATACTCACCATCCACATTGTTCTTCACAAAAAAATTGCCATCGTTGCCCAGTCTAATTTTCTTCATCACCCGATAGAAATCTGGAGATTGGTCACGGACGACGATCTCTTGTCGATGAGGTGGAATGTCAATAATGACGTCTAAATTCTCGTCCATTGTTATTATTATGTATTAATCAATTAATTTAAACAAACGAACTCCTAAAATAATAGATTATTGAGAGCGCGGGTGTTATTTCCTTGAATCCACTAAATTTTGCTCTCTTCTCAGGTTATGCCAAGGTCATGAAAACATTGTTCAACTCCACAACGTCTATCATGATTAGGTAAAGTTTACTATATATAAAACATTGTATCATTTTGTAGTTCTGACCGAATTTGATGACAATATTTTTATAATCATTCAGGCGCACGCGTACATTGTCCTTGAGGTAATTAAATCTTTACTTATTTTAATTCATATCAAAACAGTATCATAAAAGATTTTGCATACAAGATGATATTACAAACAGTATAACTAGATAAAATAACAAGCGATAATTTAACCTTTTTTCCGTGCAGCTTTTGAAAGGAGGCGAGTTGCTGGATCGAATTCGTCAGAAGGAGCGGTTTACAGAAGATGAAGCCAGTCAAATAATGCGAAAACTAGTGCGTGCTGTTCATTTTATGCATTCCAAAGGAATTGTTCATCGGGATTTGAAACCAGAGGTTAGATCACAATTGCACCGTTGCATAGATTCATAACTTTAATATTTTGATTTTTTTTAATTCAGAATCTCCTGTTCGTCGACGAAAGTGAGGATTCAGAAATCAAAATCGTAGATTTTGGAAGGTATTTACACGAGATATATATGTTTAAATTTAATTATTCAAGATTATTCAAATCTACTGAGAAGGATACTATGAAAACTCCTTGCTTCACACTCCACTACGCTGCTCCTGAAGTACTTCGGCAGGCCATGAATCAAAATGACGAAGGATATGGTTCTAGTTGTGATATTTGGTCACTTGGTGTAATATTGGTAAGAAGCAATAACGATAAATTAGCTACTAAATATAACTACTAAGCATATTTATTTACAGTAAAAAATAAACATGTACTTTAAAATTTTAAACTGTATTTTGAATTTATAGTACACAATGTTGTCGGGAAGAGCCCCATTTCAAGCTCGCAGTCGAGAAGAGACCGCTGCAGCAATCATGGCTCGCATAAAAGGAGGTCAATTTGATTTTAATGGTACAGAATGGCAACATGTATCTCCTCAAGCAAAAAATGTAACAAAAGGTAAGCTAAGTAGATATGCATACTCGGTTGGTTTTTAACGTTTTACTTGTTCCATAATTTTTTTTAAAATTAAGTACTAAATAAACTTGTCACTTGTAGGAATGCTTACTGTGGAACCCGCAAAACGACTGAGAATGGAAGACTTACTAGATAACTTATGGCTGGAAGGAGGAATGGGTGGTTTGTTGGCTACTCCCAGTATTTTAATTAAAAGCCAACGTGGTGCTGAAACGGCAGGTAAAATGTTTATGCAATTAAATATTTGGGGACAATTATTAATGATGATAAATTTTCAGTTGGGAAAACGTTCAATGCCTTTCATATGGCTCAAAAAGAAGGCTTCCGTTTACAGGTAATCTGATTTATTTAAAACACCAGACAATTATTTTGTGATTTTTAATTAATGAAATTTTGCGATTTATTTATATCAGGATATCGCATCCTCAAAATCACAACTGGCTCAAAGACGAAAAATTAAAAAATCGACAGACGGACGATCATCATCTTCCAGTAATTTTTCATCTGCTTCGTCCTTGTCAGGTATTCACAATAACTATTATACACAGGTACTTAAATGTCAAGAGAGTTTAGTTTCTAATTTAAAATGTTTTGTAGGAGGCTCATGTGTGATCAGTAAAGGATCCAATGTGTCATCCTCTTTGTCAAAGAGAAGTTCTAATGAGCAAGAAGGTCCTAACTTTTTCAGCTTTGGTGAAGCCCGTGTTCAAGAATTCCTCAATTCAATTCAAGAAGAAGAGTTCAAAAAGAATATTTCCTCATTGCCCGAACGTAATAGCTTTAGTTCTAATTTCCACTCTTCCACATCATTTTCCGGAAGTAGCGTTTCTTCCATTTCCAACATAAGTTCAGCCCGTGCTAGCAATATCCATTCCCGAAGCAAGCATCCAGGACCACCCCCTTTGACGCCTGTCTCCACTTTCTCATTTCCTCAAAACTCGACTGACTCGACCAAAAAAGTGCGAACTACTCCGCCCACCTTGGTGGCTATTCAGCCGACGGTGCCCGCTACTCAGACTGTACCTGTGGAAGTTGAACTTCCTCAAACGAAAACACTCGTCACTCGAACAACGATACCATTAACTGGGACGTCATTTCTGCCCACCTTCAAATTTGAGCCTATAATGACGAGAGCCAGAAAACGAAGAATAGATGACCAAGGTGGAAGGAAAACAGACTTAAAAAGTGCCTACATAAACCCCCCAATTGCTGGAGATTCCTTGAAACCTGTCGATTTGGCACTTCCTGCTCGTGTGCGTCAACAACAACAAACGGAACCAATCTCTGAATCGATTGATGAATTCCATCATCGTCGTCCAAACATCGGTACATCACCCAGTAATAATTTTACTGGAAATGAAGGTCCAACTCAAAAATATAAACGCAAGCGAATGAAGAATCTGTGATACATGTGTAATCTTAAATCACAATTTATCCAAGCTATCAACGTTGTGTTAAATCAGAATGTTGCATTATTAATGCTACTGATTACCTCGTAACTGTATCCGTGTCTTAATACTTACATATACGCATATATATTAATCAATTTAAATGAATCTAATCTTTGAGTATTCTCGTCTCCTCCAATAATTTGTTAATAGCAAGTTATACACATACATTATTATGCAAGATCAAGTATTCTCAACTGATAATTAGTTGCAAGGTGATCCATATGAATATCGAAGCGAGAGTATCAGAAATTCGTATACTTTGAATATTGAAGAATTCATGAGGTGGGACGCTAAAAACGTGTTTGCATATACATAATTATGTATTGATAGATCTTCTTAACTTGTCGTCACTGGTGCTGTAAAAGGAGATGCGATCAGTTCTCCAACTTTGCAGACTCTTCAAGTCTTGATCGTACTATTAGTAATAATTATTATTCAAATCGATAGATATATTTTATAACAATTCCGAAATATTTACAAATATATGTTTGTTTTATTGAGAGATTTATAATCATTGGTGAATAGATATTTTATTATTATTTATCTAGAATTATACATTAGCATCTTATTATGAATCTATGCCCACTTATGTACTAATGTGAGTATTACTATAAATGAATATTTAACAGGTTGTACCTTATACATATATCAGTGTCAAGTAGGAATCGTGTACTGAAAAGAATTTTTTTTCTCGAAATTATTCTTCTGGGCCACTAACTGTAGATACGGTCTCAACTCCTTGAAACATTTTTGTCAACACATTCTTTAAATTACACGTGAAACGAAACAGAGCTGTTTTTGCAAGCAAGAATTTTTTTAGTACTGTTTAACACAACACCACATTGGCTACAAAGTTTGCAAATACAACACGTCCGCGTTTAAGTAACCCTTCCATCCAATTTGGAAGAAAAGAAGTCTGTCGCTACGCTAGTCAACCGTCGGAAACCACAAAAGTTACAAAAAACAGAGATAGAAAATATACTACATACATATATCACTCCGAAAAATAAATAGATTGAAAATCTACTTCAATAAACCAGAAGAATCATGTATCACATAGAAGTATCATAATTCTGGTCAGGATATTCATGACATTTTGACCAAACCCAAACCACAAACCCATCATCGGGATTTGAGATATGAGGTAGAAAAAAGAAGTATGTATGCGTGTCCAACACGAGTGAAGAGTCAAACAAATGTCTCAATTTCTTTAAAAATAATCATAAAAAAATATGTGATTAGATCGGATGCGTCACAATAACCCTCTCGATTCACTCAAAGAAAGGAAGAAAGAGGCAATTCGTTTGTATCCGCTGACTAACAAGGGAACCATTCATGCAGAGAACTTCAACATCGTGGATTGTTAAAAATAAATGAGGACTGCTGATGATGCGAAAGAGAGAAAAAGCGTCCGCATGCACTATTAAGAGGAAATTATTTTCTCCAAAGAATTGAATCACTCAAATGAAAAGATATAATAATTGAAATGGGTACAATTCTTGTAGGCAATTTTCAAAATGTGGTTTCCTCTCCTTCTTTACAATTTCCTCCCTACATAAAAATAACTAGAGATGCATATAAATTTCTGATAAAACTATATATTTAGTTATGTACGTTACAGGCTCCCACTAAAGACTACATAGTCTAATAATTGCATCACAATCTCTTACTCGCCTATAATGGGAATGGTAAGAAAAAGGATCGTATTTTGTCGAAGACGCAAAAATGAAATGATTGACAATGTAACAATAACATTCACACCGTAATTTGTAAACATTTGGAGGGTAGTTTCATCTTTGTTGCTGTTTCCGTGAGGCTATACAAGGTTTCAGATTTCAAGAATAGATAATATCCTATTACACCACAGCGTATACACTTTTTAGTATTCAACATAAATGTTTGCCGTACATAACGTAAAGTGCAGTCTGGAATTTCGAAGCAAAGTACAACTAATGTGTGCTAATGTGTAAATTTGACCACCAGGAATTCGTATGTTCTCACGAGTTCTTGTCAACAGCATAATACTTAATTATTCATGAATATAGGGTCGAAATGTCGTTCTAATTATGACGATACTTCGCAGTTGTTTTTTTAAATATATAAATGAAAAAAAGAATTAAGGATATCAAACTCAAGGCGAGTTGTTCCTTTCGATCAATTTTTCTAACTAAAACCTCTGACCAGAGATAAAATCTTGCAGGCGGGCATTATTATTAAACAAATTTCACACATAAATTTTCAAGTGATGCTACTGCACGTCTTACTTATATGTAAGTGCCCACCATCGTTCGATAAAGACCTGCATATGTTTCTCACCTTTGCTTGCATCGTCTGACAACATATTTGCCCACTGTAAATCAAAAGCCAAGTATGCAATTCAGTATCTAAATAAATTTCTTGTTAAAAGAATTAAAACTTTGGATGTCGTGCCTGCTGGCAAAATATAATTTGGATAATCAAATTATCTGGATGCATTGTATGAATTTAGTTGACAAACACTGATTCTTTTAAGAAATGTTTATAATGCGAAGGTCAATTGCTACGGTATTTCATAACTTCTAGTAACACGAGGCGAAGGAGGCAGGTGTCCAAACATCGTTTCTTGATTGAACACAGGGTGGTAACAAACTAACTCTAATAATAACAAATATACTTTTAATTTTACATACAAAAGAAGCAGTAGAAGGACCAATCCGTCACAAAATTCTTCAGGTTGACTTGCATTCACGATAGGATGTACCTATAATCTTACGACTTACTCTGTGTGCATGTTGTGCAATAGTCAGATTCAAACAGAGATCTCACCGTTCAGGTGATGTAAAAGAAACTTTAGAGTCACAGGTGCATCACGAGCTTCTTTTTCATCCCAATTAGTCTCCGTCCATGTTCCTTTTGTGAGCAGGATTCTTTCAATTATCCTCAGACGTTTATTTATTTGTTGACACAAATTTTTTATCTATTCGTCTGAATTTCGAAATGTCCATTTCATATGAATAGCTAATTATAAACTGATGAAAGTGGAAAAAATGTCACTGTTTCATGTAAACTGTGTCACCCCAATTGAATCACGAATTCTGATTTGTGCAAAGAAACAGTTAAACAATAAAACTCATTATCCTGATTTACTTGCATTTATGCTAACTATTTGGACAACTTCATATCGATCGTGCCGAAGCTACATACATAGAGCAAATTAAAGTTTGCTAGCCAGTAATCACATATTTTTAACTGTTTAATGTTGTTAATATTGCAGTAAATATACGAATCGAATATATGTATGTGACAATTTGTTTTTGCATTTCGCCATTCTCAATGCATGCATAAATAAGTACACACTATTTGCAAGTTAAAATAGGAGCAGGGGCGATGCGAATAAAATATTTAATATCTTACCTCAAACCACCAATTTCACTGGACGAGAAGTTAATGCGTCCTGGGCTTGAAAGTCTGATGCCGTAACTTGACACTCCCACTCCCCATCATCATACTCCAAAGCTGAATTCATCACCCGCAAACTGCAGTCTCCAGTATCGGGATTTCCAGCCCATTCATATTTGCCTGAATTTCATATTGAAAATTTCAAATTGGCTAGCGGATAATTATAAACTGAAAAAATTAAAAATTAAGTCTTACTCGGGTAGATTCCAACCGGCTGAAAATAATTAAAATATATTTTTTATAAATAAGAAAACATACAGGTTAAAAGTAAATGTGGTACATAAAAAAATAAGTATTGTATCTGCAATATTTAAATGGCGTATTTTTTATGGTTGATATGAAAAACTAAGTGAGCATCGCATCATCCATGCACAACTGCTAACTTGCGTTCTCTTGAAATAATGGCAGGCAGAATCTGAAATGAAGCAGGTGGATGGATACAAATTTCCATTTTGAAGTAAAATGGGCCAGCAGAGAGAGCTCCGCATACATAGGAGAGAGATCCAATTCAGGGATGAAATATGCATGCATAAATATGATACAAATGTGGGACGAAAATCTTGGGCAAGATCTGCCGTGCATTTATTCTGGTTACGGTGAAAGGCTCATTGAGGGAATACACCAACTCCCTTCATAGTTCCCTACGTGGAATTTACAATAGCTAATGCACGCTTCCCCCAAGTCTACCACTTCCACGACGACGACCTATCATTTCCAGTTCGCTTCCTGGTCCAACAACCCACAACATCAATTAGCTTGCAAACACGGAGGCCAGTTTATAAGTGCACGATTCGTACATGAGTGGGAGTTTTGGAATTGGAGGAACAAGGAGTCACGTTTAATTATTAAAAAGAAAAACTTTAACAGAATAGTCGGAGCTAAACTACACGTGTGGGACGTCATCACCTTAGATAACCTCACTTTAGCCTTTTAGATATGCCAAATTACATGGAGCACTCGAGGTTAACCCGAGCATATAAATGGTGGTTGGGGTTTGACCTCCGTTTGGAAAAGCGATTCATATATTACGCCGTGTACTTGGGTAACAGCTTCGTGTTATTACATTGTATATATAGGGTCACACAACTTTAGAAATTGGAGGCACTCATTTTGTGGATCTACTGACTAGCTAGATATGTTTTTGCGGAAAGCATAAAAAGATAGAAACAAAAAAGATTTTAACTAAATTCTAAGCGTGATACCCTAGTGACCTCATTTTCTTAAACTAAATTAACCTATGTAACAGTATTATTAAAATGGAAAAATGGAATTTTGCAACATTCTCCAGAGATGAAAAGGATGACAATATGCAAATATAATGGGATAACCTGGGATCTACAACTTTTCCTCTTTTTTTTCTTTTTGTGTCTATCGTTGACCTTCAATACCCGTCTTGTACACACCACCCCCCGCTGGGACAACTGATCAAGGGAAGGTCACCCTACTAGATGCGAGTAAAACACCCGTCTTACCATGCAGTGGGCAAATTGTTCCCGCAGTAGCGACAAACAGCCCTATTCCGCATGGCGTTTTAAGTGCCGGGTTGCTTTTCAAACTGGATCCGGCAGGGAGTGTATTGGTAACTTTTGTCTCGGACGTAAATACAAGAGCGGAAATGCGTGGCGTGTTCCAAGCTGCAGAAGCGGGCAGTAATTCGCCGGGCAAGTTTACTCCACTGAACCCGGATGATTATGGGGGACCGGTCCCACTTGCGGTGGTACAGGGAAGTTTGTTGGGCGAGGTGAGTAACTGATTTTAAACTATTGATATGTAATTATTAATTTGGTTCCACACATTAGGCTAATTTTACAAAAATTCACGGAACTATGAGTCCACCAGCCTCAAAAGATCAACCTGCTTCATTTCTCGCTGATCCTCCTGGATCAATTCCAGCCTCTGTATACTTGGATGTAGCCCCAACAACGGCATATCCTGGCGTTTGGATGCCCAACAATCCCCCGACGTTTACACCACTCGACCTGACCGCATTTCCCGCTGGGGATAATCATGGCAAGATCCTTCTCTCGAACGGATCACATGCTTTGACGGGCAGTTTACATAATGCAGGATCTGGAGGCTCACTCACTTTTACGGAAGATTCGCCAAATACGGTGAAGGGTGAGACGTCTACATATTTATTTATTTATGTAACTGGAATTTATGCGGTTATATTGGAAATTACATATCCATCTTACGTGCAGCCACCTACTTTATGGACGAATCTTCCACCCCGATACAAGGCATGTACACTACTGGACAGCCCTGTTCATTTTTACCAACAACGGCCAGTGACCTGCCACCAAGTCCAGGACATGGTCAAATTGTTCCTCAAGGAGGCGTCGCAACACTGGGACGAATAGAACCACCATCAAGTCCAGGCGGTGGACCGACGATATTTTATCCCGACCCGCCAGGCTCTGCACCTGCAACTTTTACAGCAGATAGGACGACTGCAGGATTTAAGGGAGTGTACACCCCACCCAGTCAATCAGGAATTGCGGGACAATTTAGTCCAATTAGCAAGGCGTACGTTCCAACTGCGGAAGTTCATGGAAGAGTGACGCCTATAGCGGGACAAGCTGTGATGGGATTCTTATCTCCGGCAGCAGCAGCGGGTACGGCATCATTTATGGTGAGATATACATGTTTTTGTAGTGTGGGAACACATATTTGATATCGTGCTATGTGATAATTCTGTTATCAAAGGCCGACACGCCAACCACTTTTACGCCGGATGCCAATCCACAAAACAAAATCCAAGGAGTCCTCTCGAAAGGAAATGTATTCATTCCGGATGTCGTATTTCAAGTTCCGAGCACTCCCTCGCCAGGTATTCTCTCAACCCAAGGTTCCCCCTCGCAACACGGCCTTCTTCAGCCACCCACCCCACCTCTGTCCACTTGTGGATTCACGCCAGA